AAACCCTACAGTGACCAGTAAGACAACACACCAGTGCACTTGGCAGACATGGAGCGGAGACACATCATATCTGCTCTACATGTTGACCTGCTCTGGGCTGGACATTTATTCCACCTGAAATCAGAGGTTCAATATGACCAAAACATTATTATCAGTATGAGCCGACTGCTCAATCAAAACATGCAGGGAAATAAAAGTTATCCATTATGTGACAGCTTTGGCAACAAAACCTTACATATTTAGTTTTATGACATGTTTCTATTAGGTGATCTTTCTTTCTTCTTAAGTAGAGTTTTCTTTTCTATCTGCTTTGTAAGCCAAAAAACACTTTTGGGAAGCCCCTACAATGTCAAATAACCAAAAACTTATAACACAGGACTGTGATATTAGGCAAGAATTCTTCAGTTGTACCTTAATCCTGCCCCACGATCCTCAGGAGCCATCTTCAGAGAGTAAAACTATCTTCTGATGACGAGATAGTACCGCAAATCTATCCAAAGATCTTAAAAGCCAGTAAAGTTTTCAAAGTCAAGAAAAGAGAATTTGTCTTTTGCAGCAGTGGGCTAACTCAAATTTACCAGACAACACAGTCTGACAGAAGCTTCTGTTTATCCTCAATGAATCCCCGGTTGGAGTATTTCAAGTGGCTCCGTCTAAAAATAACTGGGTCACACCACATTCCATCCTCCGGTCATCAGGAGTACAGAGGAATTGGGGTTGAGGGCGGGGGGCATGAAACAGCTGCCACCACCAACAACACCACCAACCCAACATCAACATCCCTTCAAGCACACCTCCTCGTATGTCTGAGTGACAGGGCATGAGCGGCTGGATAGGAGGACGTGCGTGTGTCTCATGTAAATCACAGTTTTTAAACAACCACTTGATGGACGAGATGAACGTTGGACGAGAGGATTTTGGTATTAATTTAAACCCAAACTGTTCAAAACCACACAGAGACTCAACGTGATGTTAACAGATTCAAAGATCGCAGACGTAAACGTGCAAAAACAAACTATATTTGAACATTTTTGTCACTTTCCAGACTTAAAATGTTATCTACACCAACAATCACAAGATTGTTTAAACCTGTGGTGAAAAACCCCAGAACTCCTCCTAACATCAGCCTTTTAGTCTTTATAAGAAAACAGTACAATTATTGCTCAATCCTGCATGAAATGATTCTGTGGTATTTATTTTCTGCTTGTAGCTGTAGTAAACAAATCAAAACAGATATTAAAATAAAATGTTTACCGGCTGCAGCATCTCCTCTGGTTTGAAAGTGGGGTGCACTTAAAGTGTATTATTGGGCAGAAGTCTGTTCTTGGGTTATACGTGTCCAATTCATAAGAAGTCAAAATCGAATGACGTCACTTTCAAGACTGTTCTGTGGCATGCTGTGACACACACTGTTTTGTGTGTCCTCATACACATTCTTTGTTGTGTTTTAAATAATTTATCATAAAAGCTGTTGGACAAAATAAGTTCGTAAGAGTTTGACTGAGAAGAGAGATAATATTGAATATTTTTCTAATGACTGTCCAAATAACACAAAACAAAATCTTGTGTTTCATTCATCAAAACCCACAAAGACTTGGAATTTGGCCGATATCCCTCTTGTTTTTATGTATGATGCAATCACATGATACACACGTGTGTTGTTTTGCTATCAGTCACCCTGAGGTCCAATCAGAGAATTTGTTCTGCAGCACGCCCCCTTCAGCGTAAAGTGATCCAATTGGCTCATCCTATTATTTCTGCATCCCACACACACACACACACACACACACTCACCATCACACACACACACAGACACACACACACACACACAGGCAGTAATCACACCCACTGTGCTTAGGTTTCACAACTCTTAGGAAACTGTGTGTTTGTTGTGGGAACTTACTCCTTAAAATGCCGATTCACTGAAGGTCACATGACGTTTGTGCAGACTCACAGGCCTGATAATTAACCCCCCTTCACACATAAACACCCAGCGTCAACAAGAGTGGGTTGTGCTTGGCTGAGATGCTCTCCTTCCAGTTTAGTCGCACCTGTCAGGAACATTGTTAGTCCCCAAAGCTTGTTGACATCATGTAAACAACACACGTTCCAGCCAGCCAGAATCAGATGAAACTCCCGTGTTTGTGTTTTGTAAAGCTGGTAATAAAGCCATTAGATCTTTGTTTTACTGTTCTGCAGATGAAGGGTGGACAGCTGCTGACTGAACTGGGAAACGTAATTGAACAGTGGAAGGAACCCTTTGAGGATCTCCTCAATTCGGTCTCCATGTCCACCTTTGCGGAGGAGGAGGAGTCTAACGGCTCTGAGTAAGGTGAGGTCTGTACCTTTGGCAGATGTAGCCAGGTAGTTATAAAGCTCCTGAGGGTGCCAGGCATGGGCAGAAATCCTGGGAGAGTCAAGGGGGTTGGCACCCCCCAGCCTCCTTAACCCACACAAATCTTATAACATGAAGATTGTCCCCCAAATAAATAATTTGATGAAAACTATACTTTTAAGATATACAAAGAAATGAAAACATAAAAAAATTATGCATTTGTGGCTCTCAAAATTCCCCCCCACCATATTTTTTATTATGCTTTAGAGTAAAAACTTGCGTTTAAATATTTCCGTGCAGCCAGCAAGTGTCCACAAGTGATGCCATCTATATAATTACCAAGCATACAATTGTGGATTCATTTAAGAAATCATGTTTCAGAATTAACCATGAAGTTTTTGATGGTCTACATACATTTACACAAGCACACCCACTTTCACAATGTCGGCAGGCTCGACTCCTCAGCTGCCGGCTTCCCTTTAGGGACAGCAGCTACAAACCTTTATCCAAGACTTGCCCTAAGCCTGATGTCCAAATACCCACAAAACACAGAGAACAGCAGGTGGCAACACAATCCCATCCTGCTGGCCAAAAACATCAGTAACAGAGAGAGTTACGATGTTTGACACTCCTAAATGAAAATGATAACTCTCAAAATTACAAATGTAAATGAAAACACCAGAAAATGCTTCTAACTGAACCACAACTTTGTTTTTCCAACAGTGTCATCTGCACCTTGCTATTCTCATTAATTGAGCTGAAAAACTAATGTATGCTCTTTGTTTCTTTTAACAAGCAAACACAATGCAAAGGGTTCCTGACTCATTTCGTACACCTTTATTTAACCAGACATAAACACGGAGAACACATTCTTATTTACAGAGCAGGCCTGGCAGCATCAGCACGTACTTGTAGGGTCAAGGGAAACAATACAGCAGCTCAAGCTCAACCTTTGACTCAACCTCACCAGACATTTTCTTATATAACTCAGATGTGTTGCATTCAGCGTGGCGCCTACAAATCCCCGACACCTCGTTTGAATCCCACTGACCGGGTCAGTGACCCAGCTATGGCATCGGGTAACAGACAATGTCCAGCCACCAAGCACACAATCACTTTCAAAATAAAGGTCAGGAGTGAGAACCACTCACTCATGTACTGTAAAACAAAGTGAGTCAGCCAAACTCAGCAACTTTATTCAATTCAATTCAAAAATACTTTATTAATCCCAAAGGGAAATTATTTGTTGTTGTAACTCGTTATCCTCATTTCATTAAGAGATGTTATAGATGCTGATGCTGTAGACAGGAAGGATCTCTTGTAAAGGTCCATCCCACAGTGGATCCTAAAAAACTGGCTGCAGATGCCGTCCGATCCGTCCACCCAGACTTGGCTGGCCTGTCAGTTCTCCCGGGCTGTAGGACCACCCCAATGCTGGCAGAACTCCTCCCAGAGCGATGGCCACTCCTCCCAGCAGTCTGCAGAGCTCCTCGTAGCTGCGGACAGCCAACTGTAGGTGCCGAGGGACGATCCTGTCCTTCTGCTGTCATGAGCCGTGTTTCCTGCTACAAAGTAGTTCCAGGATCTCAGTGGTCAGGCACTCGAGCACAGCTGTCAGGTAGACGAGAATGCATCCACAGAACATCCTTTCAACTCATTTGAGATTTGGGGCTGTAGTTGAGATATTATTTGAGCTTTTGAGATGTTAATCAGCTGTTGGTTGTAGAAAACTGCCTTGTTGCCATGGTTACGCATCATAACAAATGTCCAAACCTAAAAAAGTTTCAGTAAACATCCTTCCAGCTGCACAGCATCTGATACCAGAGGAAACAACCATCCAAAAATTTTGATTTACATCCAGAAAAAGAAGAATTAAAATTTATAAAAGCAAAATCTCAGAATGAAAGTAACAGAGCTGCTCCAACATGCAGCCACCTGGAGCGGCGCAACTCTAGAACAAGTCCATGAGGTGCAAAGTTAAATTACAGTGAAGTGCGAAAGTCTGACACAAGTGTTTGAATTTAGTTTCAAAAGCAAAGATGTTTCAAGGTTGAATTTATAAATATACGCAGAAAGCACATTGCAAGTTTTCCAAATTTGCCACAATGTGATGGGTACGTTCTGGAGAGTGTGGCGAGGTCCAAATCTAATGTGAAGGGCAGCTTACATGTTTAACATGGAAAACTAGTGGACATGTGGTCAGCTCATGCACACAGCCCTGACCATCATGCAAAAAAAAATCTGTTGAACTTTTTGGCTTGTGCAATTAGTTGGTAACAAGTTTAAAATCAGGTCAATACCTTTTTTTGAAACTGAAGGATTATGTTTGTGTTCACAAATGCAGTAAATGTCTAAAGTCTGGTGGACAACAGTTTCAAGTCACATTCATCCAGTTCAACCTTCCTCCATGTGATGTCAACATGATTAGCATATTTCAGACTGCACAGGCTGAAGATGTTGTCAAATCCTCCTGATATCAGTAAAAATGATCTGACTCAGAACGAGAAGAAGTTTGAAAATAAAGAACAAGACATCTGAAAAGAACGTCTTCTGACATTTGATCGTTACAAACTAAAAAAACAAGATGAGGACACCTTTTTAAACAACCTTTAAAAGCCAACCTGCACATGAACAAACCTCCATCTCGTGCACTTTAAAGTCTCACCTTGTTGTCATGCTGCTCCACAGGTGAGCTCCTGTGGAAAGAAAATGTTGAGTTGTACTTCTTAACCACAATTACAGTAAAAATAGATAACAGACACATTTGTATTGCCTCGTTTCTGTCTTTTCCCCATTTTTGCACTTTGCGCAATTTTTAATTTACATTCACAATTATGTGTTACTTTATCAATGAGCTTTAATGGATCGTACTGAAGTGACTCTTTAATCCTGCCAAGTAAACATTTACAACCAGCTGCTTCATTTAAATCTAATTTAAATAATCTTATGTGCAGCCACAAAATGGAGTAAATGTTTACAGACTAGCATCTCTCACTTCTTATAACAGAATAATAACATCAATCATTTTGTCATTACTCATACTGTTCTTAATGATACCATGAGCATGCCCAAACTACACTTTGTGACCGATAATTAACCATAAAAGACGCTATTCTGTTGAGTGGTTTAAAACACGAGCTGAGTTCACGGTAACACTGATTCTGCTTTGAGCGGTTTTACTTTTGATACAGCAAAAATCAGACGAAGTTAAACTGAAGTGCGTCAGTGACAGGAGACCATCTTTGAATGCGTGTCAAATTACGATGTCTCATCCTGAGTCAGCAGGATGTTCTGATGAAAATGGTGTTTTTTTAAATGCTGTGACCTTCACAGCTCAGAAATCTTCATCGCTGTAAGACAGGGTTATGCCAGAACAAAAGGCTGAAAGAGGTTTTTTTAAAGGTTTTTTATTGATCAGGTTGAACAGTTGGGCCTTCTTCACACAAGATGTTGATGATACGGTACCTGAAGACCTCATCAAGACCTCATCAAGACCTCATCAAGACCTCATCAAAGACATCCATGTTCTGGCAGATTTTTTACGTCGTAGCGAGGTCATCATCCCGTGTGACAGGAGCCTTACGTCATATAAATGGTGTTGCACTGATGCTGCTTTGGCAGAACAAAACGACTCAACAAGTAACCAACCTTAATCAACAATCTGTACTTTTAAAACCAACTATACTGCTGAATATCTTCTTGATTTCCTACAAACATGACGCCATAAAATCTCTATTTAAATGTAGTTTGCTTGGTTTAACATTTTAAACCCTTTTTTTACTTTTAGCAACTGCTTTTATTTAATTCCTTCCTGTATTCCATCAAAAGAAGATCTATATTTGATAGAAAGCAAACTTTCTTCACACAATGTCAGGATGTCAACAAATAAAACATGTGACTGAAGAAGCTTCCAAAAGAGGACCAAAAAAAAAAGCACTAAAGAACTTGTAGACTTTAACAATTATTAAAGAGTTTATTCATGTTCAACTGAGGATATTTCATGATTTATTATCAAAAAATACAATTTCCATAATCAACTGTAAATGCGCATTAGTGTGCAGGAACTGCCGCAAAAGTTGCAGCAGTCTCATAAAGTTCATGCTGTCACTTAAACAGTTATTGTAATTTTGATTTAATAAATATATAAAATGTCAGGATAAAGAAAATTTTATTTCACTGTTCACTGCCAGAAATAATAATAATAAACAAGGAAATAATCAGATTTACAGCACCCAATAGAAATTTCAATATGATGACTTAATTAGTGAAAGTGGATTTTACATTTTTTGCATTTTGTTTGATTATTGTGCTGAGAACAGATCATTTTGTTACTCTCTTAATATTTGAAAGGTGTTTGCATGTTACCTGCAGACATGGTCGTATAAAGATCTCTGACCGTCGCCGTGACGACCAGCAGAGCGAGCAGGATGGCCACGAGGCTGTAGACTCGAAAACAGCTGAAAGCTACAAACCTGCAGACACAAAACAAGTTCCTCGTTCACTTTGTCATGACAAATAATAAAGTGACCCATTAAACGTATTTAGTGCATGAGTTAGTTCACAAATTAGTTGTTTTAAAAAGTTACAACACAAATGATTTGCACTAAATTATGTTATGTGAAAGTTATTTGTTTATTAATTAAGGTTTGATGCTTCATTCTTGCTCTTAAATGCACAAAAACTATTTCAACTGATGCAATCCATATGTTACTAACATTATGTGTTTATTTTTCCTAAATTTACCTAAATCGTTTCCTTTTCAGTAAAGTTTGTGTCTCATTTTTTCACTCAAACAATTATGATGCAGACTTTAAAAAGTTATAAAACAAGACTTTTGTAAATAATTAAATACTTTTTTTTTTTTTAACGTTAGTACATTTTTGAGCTATGAAACCTTTCAGGGCAAAGAATATTATGGATCAAGTTGTTTGCCCGTAATGCCAAAAATGATAATTTGAATAAAAATCAGTCAATATAAACAAATAAAAATGTTGCTGAAAAGTCCATTTAATGAGTTAGTTTAAATTTAGATTAAATGATTTTTCACTATCAAGCAAATGTTAAAAAATAGAGCACTTATTACAACAGTTTTCTTTTGTTTACATGGAACTATTTGTATTTCAAACAGGAAAGTTCAAACTTACACAGTGGGTTCAGATGTGGGAGGTATAATTCATGGAACTTGGTGTATTTATTTCACATTTGGACCCAGGACATCACTGATTTTGACATGACAGCAGGTCAGAGTGGCTGATATCCCTGCGTCATGATGCTTACCAGATCAGCGTGTTGGCTGCAGCGAACAGGGCTGAAGTCCTGCACGGACTCCGCTTCCAGCTCACCAGGCGCGTCACATGGAATCCTGCGCGGCCAGGAGGCTTCTCCTCCCCGGGGTGTGTCCGGCTCGGGGCCCCCGAGGGCCCCAGCGACCCGGCGGCCGCCTCCCCACCGCCAGCGGTGCCTGCTCCCCGGCTCCCCTGCATTGCTAAACGGCCGGGATCGCTCCGCTCCGCCGCTCCTCTCCATCACCTGAAATCACTAACAGCGTTTCCGGAAGGGTGGTTTCAAAATAAAATCCTCACATAAAGCTGACCATTCAAACTTCTAAAGCACATCTCCATCCATTATCTTTACCCCCTTCGTCTTTTTCGGGTCACGAGGGTCACTGGTCCCCATATCCAGCAGTCACTGTGCGAGAGTTGGGGGACACCTTGGACAGGTCTCCAGTCCATCACAGGGACACATAGAGACAAACAACCATTCACTGGGACAATTTAGAGTTCAGTCTACCATGCATGTTTTTGGTGTGTGGGAGGAAACCGGAATACCAAAACCCACGCATGCACGGAGAGAACATGCAAACTCCACCCAGAAAGGCCCCCGGCCGGGATTTGATCTGGTGACCTTCTCACCGAGAGGCAACAGCTCTACCAACTGACTCACCGTGCCGCCCTAAAGTACAACATTTATAATCATAATCTCAATCATATCTACAGAAAAATGATTTTCTGTAAACATTTCAGTGGGAATGCTAAGTGCTGAATAACCTAAATGTAGCTAAAAGGAAAAAGTAGCAAAGGCTAACTACAAGTAGCAGATCAGTACCTAAAAGCTAAATGAAGGGAAACCCTGGCTAATATACAGAAGAAACAAAATGCTAGCTAAAGGTAGAAAAATCTGGATGAAAGCAGCAAAAGGCCTAGCCAAAATCTAACAGTAGCAAAAGGGTAGCTAAAAGCAAGAAGTACAGAACAGCTAAAAATGTCAAAACACCAACAAATAGCTAAAATTACCAGAAGGCTTGCTATAATCTAAATCTAGCAAAATGTTGGTAAAATGTCAAAAGGATAATTAAAAGTTAAAAATAGTTAAAGGCAAATTGAAACTAAAATTATTGCATTGGTAGCTAAGTGGATAATTTGTGGCTAAACGCTAATTGTAGCAGTTTTCGCTAAAAGTGGAACAAGAAAAAAAAGTAGGACAAGTTTGTTGTTGTTGAAACAAATTTCAGAGAACTAAAGTAAATTCATTTTCTTTCAGAATGTTTATGTTTAGTCCCTGCAGTGAACACATTTTTAAAGCTTGATTTAAAAACATAGAAAAAATATCTTGTTTCCTTAAGCTACATTTAATTTATTTAGCAGCCACTTTCATCCGAAACTAATTATGAGAAACAAATCACGGTTTGTTCCTGCTTCAGCTTGAAATGATTTTATTGTGAAAGTAAAACAACCTCACTTCCTGTTCATCTTCCTATTTTCTTTCTAACTTCCCTGCAGCTGCAGACTTCAGCTACTTTTTATTTTGACCAGCTGCTTTTTGTGTTGTGTTTCACCTCAATGACGTCAGGTCTTTGTGTCTGTGTGAATAAATATAAGAAATGTCTTTATCTGTGTTAAACACTATTATATAGTTTATTAATAGCTAAAAATAAAATTAAAATAATTACATATGAATAAAAGTTATTTAATAAAGATGCATTAGGGGAAAAGACTGGAAACAGTCAGTGATAAAGTTTGTTAAAAGCTTTAGCTGTTTGCAATGACCTGCTTTGTTTTGTTTGGAGCTTTTACAACATAAAAGCTATTTAATCACAAAACCTGGTTAGTTACACACGACAAACCTTGACATATAAACAGATGGGAGTAAAAAGTTGTGTTTTAACAATCAGTCAGACTAAAGGGCTGCTCATGGACAAATCAAACTGGGCCACATGAGAGAGTTCAGAAGAACCTGTTTTGGTGTAGCAACATGAAACTTGCAGCTACAAAAGAATTCTGACCTATTTTTCTCCAATGTGGCCTGAACAGTTTTGGCTGTGAATCAAGGTCAAACCTCACAAATCGTGGATTTCAACAATGATCTGCTCTACTTTCTGCGAGTAGAATCCCACCAGGTCACCATTTCAGACTTGCACACATCTAGTTAATCTTTTTGTTTTTCAGCGTAGTTTCACATGAACTAGGCTTAAGGGGGGAAAAAAAATGCAGGTTGATTTAAATCTTGCAATCATCATTAAATATATTAGAAAATAGCTGAGTTTTTACATGAAAGCCACGAATATTTATTTAAGATTGAAATTTTGATTATTTTTGCTTAAACACTGTAGCATGTTGCAGCGTAATGTGCACATTTTGATTGTTTTGTGTTTGCTCTTTATCTCAATAGGGGTTGGATCAATTCAGACACAAGTCCACTTGATAAGTTTTTTTATAATCGGATCTTAATGGCTGTTTTACACTCAGAATTTCCAAATTCTGTGTCTCGTGTGTTAAACCTTTTCCTTTACCCAATCTTTCTGAGGAGACATTCTGATGTTCCCAACATGATCTAATCTCTGGCTAGTCCCAGGTCTTCCTTCAGCAGTGAAGCTTCAGTCCTACACAATGTGCTGAAACCACAACGAATCTCAGTAAACAGGCGCAACGCTACAGATACAACCTTTAATTCTCTGTGAGTTAAGTTTTTTATTGTTCGTTTGACTTTATTTAAGTGAAAATTATTTTCCCATTACATGTATTCCCATTTAATATGCACACACGCACAATCACAAGCTAGCATTTTGCGCACGTTCAACTGCAACATATGCAATAGTGACAGCTAAAAGTGTATAAATCTGAACTCATCCTGCATGCGCACTTATACCAGAGCTCTGCAAGCGCTAAAACAGTTTCTGTGTGCATGTGTGTGTGTTCATCAGTCACTAATTGGACTGAATTTCACAGAGCAACAAAAGATCAAACTCGAAAATTCCACCTCTGGTCTGCACAGGCTCTGCTTTGTTGTCCTTTGGCCACTGATTGCTGTGTTAACAGTTATCTCTTCCTCGCTCGTGAAAGCGACAGTCACCCCAACTGCTCAGAGACAGGCGACCCACAGAGGACAGAACCTACCAGGGGCTTCCTCCATCAACTCCAAACTCACTCTCTGACGCACACACAGAAGCCCGCTGGATCACCACGATATGCTCTACACCGTCAGTGATGTGGAAACTTGTCACCGCCTCTGTCAATGGGAAACTTTTTATGCTTCTCCACGCCGAGCAGGGATCTGAGATTTTAGGGTTTTTCAGCTGAGCAACGTTTTTGAAAAGATGAGGATTGAGCAGCAAAACCCTGATGATGTTAGGAGTGACTGTGTCCACTTGGATAAACTGAGTTCTGAAGACATGGAGTGTAAGATCTGCTACTCTGCATACAATCTGGGAAGTTGCAGGCCAAAAGTGCTTGAGTGCTGCCACCGTTTGTGCTTGAAGTGCCTCGTCAAGATCCTGGACCTCCGTGAGTCACCTTCCAATGTCTTGGTGTGTCCATTCTGTCGGTATGTCACCAAACTCCCGAAAGAGGCTGTGATAAAGCTGCCGGATGACAGCAATCTGGTGGCAACACTGGCTCTCCAAAGCATAAATCAGAGGAACCTGCACTTCCATCAGGACTCAACAACCGAGCTGCTCCTCAGCCCCAGACGCCTGAGCTCACTGACGGGTGGCAACGCTTCCCCCATGTCCTACACGTCTTCTTCCACGCCGTACACCACCATCCGGAGCTCCCCTAACTTTGTAGTCATCACTATTCTGGAGCCTCCACCTGCATCAACAACCACCCAAGATGTTCATGCATCAAACCAGAGCTCATCCAGTCTGGAATCTCTGGCATCCATCACACAGAGGTGGACAGTGTGGAACTGCGTGGCCCTGCTGTGCCAGACCTCAGCCCGGGCTCTGGTGTGGGTGCTGGGGCTCCTGTACTTCAGCTCGCTGCCAATGGGAGTCTACCTGCTCATCATGAAGAGGACAACAGCTGGGCTGCTGCTGGTGAGCTTGGTGCCAGCCAGCCTCGTCACGATCATGATCTTTGGGCTCTGCCAGTGTCTTTGTCACGAGCTCTGGCACCACATGCCATCATGATGACCCCAAGATGAACAAGAAGTGGACCGTTTGCTTTGAAAAGATCTCTAGATTTCACCAATGAGCATGTTCATGTGCACATGTGAACTGGAGGACAACAAACTGATCTTTTTTATTGGTTAAAAGAACAAGAAAGTTTGTAAATTAAGCTAATATTTTAGAGCTTTTTGTTGTTATTCATGTTTATTTGACTTTTTTTGGTTTAAAAACAGTATTTTACTTATATGCAGAAGTGTAAAAGCAATTAAGGAGCAATTTTTGACACATGTGGATTCATCTAGCAGTCATTAATAACTGTGGAAAATTGTGTCACGAGCTTCAATAAATAAATAAATAAAGTCTGCACAAGCAGCAGAGTTCTGTCAGATCTGAGGGAATAAATATACTTTCCATCAGTAAAATCAAATGAAAGCATCACAAACACGAAAAAGATATTTAATAATAATAAAAAAAAGAATAATGTATAATTTTATGATTTTATGTTTGTTGAAACTATAAATCACGTATAAATGAAGACTCAACCAGAATCAGAAGATGGGAATGAGTGAGAGCTCGCTGTGTTTATGTTTTTAGTCTATATTGAAAAAAGGATGAAAATGAGTTATTATAGATTCAGTTTTAAGGAATGCCACTGCACATTATATTTAAAATAATAATGCTAATAAATTAAAGCTATTTTTATTATAGTTACTGTGATATTTCTGCACCGCTGGCCCACCATTTAAACAGATGGTTGCAAAGTACCTTCAGTTTAATAGTTTGATCGTTTAATTTTGTGATAGTTTTTTTAACGTGGGTAAAATAGTGGTAAATAATGGTCCTAATGCAGAACAATGGAAAACCAAAAAGACCGTGGTTTATTTGAGAGAAGATAGCAGGAGTTTGTCAGGATCACATGTTGAGCCCAAAATGTGCACATCTCATCATCTCCATCAAACATGAACTTCAGCCACCAGAGGGCGCTGTAATCTTCTCTCCTCCTTTTATCCTTCCTGACTGAAGTTTTAATGAATGTGTTGTCTCTGCTCACTGTTTTAATTTCCAAAGTCCTGTATCCTCGTTGATGCTCCGAGAAAAGAACCTGAACCTTGGAGATCCTTTACCAGACCATTCATGCTCCTGTTTGTTTCTAACAGTTAAATCATAAACTCTGCTCCAACAGTGAAATTAAATAAGGATGCAACAGTGAAATTAAATAAGAGGTGTTTTGGGGATGCAACATTAAAATTAAGCTCAATAAAACTCACTCTTCACCTCGGATTGTTTTTCAAGATGGTTTCTTCAATGGTTTACTTGAGGAATTTGGACATCAGATTGAAGTGTCCATGCTCTCAGATTTGCTGGAAACTTTAAGAACAAAGATTTTATTTTATTTTATTCTAGAATTGTGCTGCTCAAGGTGGCTGCATGTTGGAGTAGTATCTATAACAACTCTTTAATGAAACCAGGATGACATTTCATTGCCCTTTGGATTTAATAACCTACTTTTGAACTGAATTGAATTATTGGAATACCTGGATCAAAAATGAGCATGAGCTTCTTTTCTGAGCATTGCATAAGTAAAATATGATGCAGAAACTCAAGCAAGCACAAACAAAATATTTACTGAAACAGCACATTTGGGTCATTTTATGATTCACCCTCACATCATGTTGTCAGCAGAGTGCTTGAAAAATGTGATAAAAGAAGTCTCAGGCCTGAAAAAACATTGACTAAAGTCTAATGAAAATGCTAAAAATGACAAAAGTCATGCTTTAACATTATAAAATGATAAACCGATAAACTCGGAACAGAAGTTTTGTGCACACAAGACACTTGTTTTGGGATGCAAATCAGTTCTTTGTTTTATTTGGATGCTTTCCCAGAGGCAACTATCCAAGTGCATTACTGGGGAAATTCATTACTTCTTTATTTTAAAGACAACAACAACAAATATATAGTTGAAAGAAATGCACAGATTCTGTTAGTAATTCAAGTACTGTACAAAAAATGAATACAAGTTAAACTGTATGCAAATAATACTTAAATCAAAGCAATTTAATAAATGACTATTTAAACTTTATTATGATTTGTAAATGCAAATATTTCTGCTTGTGTGAAAGAAAATTTGTTTTATTGACAGTATTCCTTTTCCAGCGGCACAGTGGTGCAACTGGTAGAGCTGCTGCCTCTCAGCGAGAAGGCTGCCGGTTCAAATCCCGGTCCGGAGGCCTCTCTGGGTGGCGTTTGTATGTTCTCTCCGTGTACGCATGGGTTTCTCTGGGTACTCGGGTTTCCTTCCACAGACCAAAAACATGCATGTTAGGCTGATTGGTAACTCTAAATTGTCCCGAGGTGTGAGAGAGAGTGAATGGTTGTTTGTTTCGTTTGTCTCTATGTGTCCCTGTGATGGACTGGAGACCTGTCCAGGGTGTCCCTGTGATGGACTGGAGACCTGTCCAGGGTGTCCCCCGCCTCTCAAACAGTGATGGCTGGACATGGGCATCAGTGACCCCCGCGACCCAAAATGAAAGAAGTGGGTAAAGATAATGGTTGAATGGATGAATGGATGGATAGATGGATAATCATTTAAGCTTGTAATTGAGTAAATTGTCCATTAGAGGTTTTAAAAAGATGTTTGCTTCCCCTGAAAAAAAAAAAAAATCACCCTGCTAATATTTGCGTACACATTTGATCCCTCTGTGCTTTTTAATTCTGCTAACACCCGCGTTGAGCTGTCCAAGTGGAGTATAAAACAAACACGAGGAGCTTTTCCCAGAACAATTAGTCTGTTTGCTTCCACAACGTGTCACAGATGATAAATATTCCAGGCTTTCTAGCATTTCTGTTTTCCAGGGGTCTTGATCTAAACCGGAGCAAATGCTTCCCTGCAGGGAGGGCAACATCGCTGCAGATTCCTTTTTAGTGATGGAATGAACATTCCCATATGCTGAGGAACATTCCCAGGCTGCGAAAATCAAACAGAAAAAAAAAAAAAACGGAAAAATGTTTCCTTATTTTACTGTTCAAACTCAGGTCAGAACATGAAGGTTTACACAACTGGTTCCTCATCACACACTTGAATATTACATTAAATATCCACTTATGGGTTGCACTCATTGGTATTTGTTGCAGAAGCTTGGGTCCAGTTATGTCAGACTTTCCACTACTGCAAAAACACACTTTAAAAAACACTTTTCTTTTGTTTTAAACAGTTGTCCATCTTGTTTAAATGTTGATCCATTCCAATAATGTTTATTGTAATACTGTATTACTAATGCCTGGAAAAATAAGATAGTTATTTTCCAAAACTTGCTATAGACAGAAACAGTATACAGTGTTTTTTTCCTGATGCTAAAAAGCATCTAGTTCAGTTTAATGTTTGTTTAGTCACTGTGCTATCATAACTTTCACTGAGAAAGTTCATCTACAAATAAGGTAATGTGAAAATCTGCTAAATCCCAAGACGCTCCATGTAATTTGTAATTCTAACAAGATTTTTTTAGACGTCATGATTTGACTCAGACTCATCTTAAATAGTTTCAAGTAATTTCTTGTTCATATTTACACCTTGTATATTAACCCAGTCAGGTCATCTGGACAGTTTCTTTGTTTTTTGTGGAAAGACTCAGATCCAGAGGGCTTCATCAGTCTGAGGAATCCCAAGTAAACTATTTTTCCCACTAAGCAGTACCCTCCTTTAGTGGACCAACCAGTTTGCTGGTGATAAGATGGTTTTGGATAGAGGGCGAAACATCTTTCCACAAAAAATAAACTGTCCAGGTGATCTGACTGACAGGCAAGGCCCTTAACCCCACACCATCTGCTCCTCTGGGTGTCCTAGATAGCAGCTCTCTGCTCCACACAGAGGCTGTGGTTGCGTCAGGAAGGGCATCCGGCGTAAAAATAACTGCCAAGTCTTCGTGCAAATTAGTTCGCTGTGGCGACCCCTGCATCATGAAGGACCTCACTCACCCAGCACACACACTTTTTGCCCCACTCCCCTCAGGAAGGAGGTTGAGAAGCATTAAGTGTAGAACCACTAGACTGAGGAACAGCTTCTACCCTGAGGCTGTTAGACTCATGAATCTCTAATCAGGAGAATCACTGTGAAAAATCACATCATGTTGCTGCTGATCTGTTTCATGTTGCTGCTGATCTGTTTCATGTTGATGTGTTCTTGACAGACTCATGTTCATGTTTGTGCTGATGTTCAATGTTTTATGTTATGAGTGCTTAGTGTATATTTAGTTGACGTTTTTCTTAGTTCATATCTTAGATGTTATTACTGTTTTTCTTATACATTTTATTGTTGGATGTAACTGGGACCCCGTGTACATAATTTCGCTCCACCACATGTACCACATGAGGTGCGAATGACAATAAAGAATCTCTGACGCAGGGAGCAGCCGAAAGAAGAAGATTGAGCATGAACTTTGATGTCTTATATACTGTATTAACCTTTATTTAACAGGAAAATCCCACTGCGATCACAGATCTCTTTTGACAAAGGGTCTGAACCTGAAGGCTGCCTAACATGCATGTTTAATTCTCTGTTTTGATGCAAAACCTGGTTTAGAAACTTTGTGCAACTTTATGTATGCAGTCAGACTCGTAAGTTTTGTAACAGTTTCTGGACGTTTCTTCTTGGAGTCACTTGAAGGTTTCTGCTGATCCTCCTCTGGGTTCAGGTCCAGACACTGGCTGAGTTCATCTAGTTTCTTTGAAGCCACTGCTGGATCTTTCTGGTGTTTAAAACATGGCTTTGTTCAGACATAAACATTGTCCCTGTCTAAAATCCTGAGCACTCAGGGAACATTTCGATCGTAGAATTGTACATTCAGATAATTATTCTGATTCGCTTCCTACCCTCTGTTGCAGAGAAACGTTCAAATGATGCTTTCATCATTGTGCTCGACCAGTGGAACACTATTCAGGTACCGTTCAGGTTGTTTATTTAACACATTGTACAAGAACATTTTTGTTTTTATTTTAAAAGCTCTTCTATGGACATTGAACATTTGCAGTAAATGATACTGCTGCGATGCCTTACAATCATTACCTTCTGCTTATTTTTCCACCTACACATCTCTGAGATTCTGCACTTGCTCCATCCATCATCTTCTGCTTGTTCTGGAGTCGGGTCTTAGGAGCAGCAGCTTGAGCAGGGAGGTCCAGACATCTCTTTCCACAGCCACCTCCTCCAGCTCTGCTTGGAGGACCCAATGTGTTCCTAGGCCAACCAAGAGACATAGTCTCAGAATGTCCTGAGTCTTCCCTAAACTCTCCTTTCAGTTGGACATGCTTGGATACCTCCCGAGGTGTCTAGGGGTATCCTTACTAAAAGCCTGAACCACCTCGCTTGGCTCCTCTTTTTGTGGAGGAGCAGGGGCTCGACTCCTCTAGTTCTCAGTTTGTGTGCCTGACGGTGCTATGCTGTTAGGGGCAATTGTCCCTGGTAGGGTCTCCCAGATAATCTTAGATGATGGACCAGACAAAGAGCAATTCCAAATACTCGTACAGACAGAAGACAACAAGGAGTTCAATGTACCTCACCCAAATGTGGGTTTCTGGAGTCCGACCAAAAACAGATGAAGGGCTTGTCAGTTAGCACCCGGAGACTGGGCCACCACCCGTGGTGTGGGACCCAGCTGGGCTCAGTCCAAATGAGTTACATGAGTTTGCCTTCCTGTGGGTGCACCTCCTGCAGGAGGGGCCATACATGTTGGGTTCATGGTGCCATGGGTGGCAACCAAAGACGGGGGGCCTTGACGCTCTGACCCTGGCTGACTGAAGCTTGGTGTTGAAACGCATCGCACTGGATGATAATAACGTTAAAATGTTGCATCTCAAGAATAAACACAAGTAAATGATAGAACTGGTGCTTTAGAATAATGTTTACCTCTTTGGATAAATCGGGATTTGCACAAAATGCATGTAAATTAGTAGGAAGCAGAAGGGCCGCACAACTTGTCTTTATCTTACTGATGTTCTTGTAAACTCTTTTGTTTGGAGAACATCTTTCTGCCTGTTGACAGTCACAGCACTCATGATTTCTATAAACTACCGTGATCAATCTGTTGCTTTTACACCAGAATTTGTTGGGCTGCAGGAAGGAAAACATCTTAGAAATCAAATAAGAGCCAGACCAAACCAAAACGGAACTATTTAAATCTCTAGATTTTGTTGAAAATAAATGAGTGAGACTTGTCCCGGCAAAATAACACAAGATAAAGACATGCATGGCCATTTTATAAGTACACTGCACAATTAAAGCTCGGTTTATGATAATAACACTGATAATGATTAAAAATAGTGACACAGATCGGATATAGCTGAGTTTTATTACCTGAATTTAAACAAACCTTAAATTAGCAACTAGGGGTGCACCGATTGCAATATTCTGGCCGATCACCAATTTCTAAAAAGTCTGACCTGCCGATTCTGATTTTGTTTTATACGCAACACCGTCAGGTGTTATAAGGTCACAATGCACCTTCAATTTACTAATATTATTTTGTTGAAAAACATACCCTTGAACAACATTCTAGAAACAATACAAACTTGTTTATAACTGGCCATGAGGTCGTGCTCTGAAATATAAATGAAGTTCAGACAATTGTTAAAACTACAAAAATTGGTCAAATCGGCTTCTCGTGCAAGTATTGGACGATTTCCGATTTCCCAAAATTAAGGAAATAGGGGCCGATAAATGGGTGCACCCCTATCAACTAATAAAATCATGATTCATTCAACCTTTATTTACACAGGTTAATCTCATTGAGCCTCGGGGCCTCATTTACAAGAGAGAAACAAAGAGTGATGACAACAGACAGTCACAAAAGAGGCAAACAAATTAATTATTATTATTATTTTTTACAAATCAAAACAAAATAGCAACCAAAAGGAAAAGTAGCAAAACAAACAAACAAACAAAAAAAACCTGCAACAACTCCATGAAACCAGTATGAGCTACATTTAATTTCCCTTTGGGGTTAATAAAATACTTAGAACTGCATTAAAACAAAATAGCAAACGTGACGAACAAATAAATAAGAAGTGAAAAACAAACGTGTACTGAAGTTGTTTACAAGTCGCATGCAGCACCAGAAGCGCGAGCTCCTTTTGTTTTGTGAAGAAGCGCGTGAAGACGCACGAGGCACAGACGATGACGGAGCTCGCCCCTGACCGCTAAAGCTACAGAAACGTTTTCAGGTGCACATCGTCCGCTGTACGTTCAGCCTTCGCATCCCCACAGGAGGCGAGTGGAGCTGCTCAGCCAATCACGCCAGCGGAGCGCGCTCCGACAACAAACAAAAGATCGAGCCTAGCCGAGCTTGTTTTACTTTGCGTCTGCCCGAGCCGTGCTGGTGACTCTGCTCCCAACGCCGACTGGTTCGCCTCTGTTCCGTCTACTTTTCTCGGATCCTACGCGGCAGACGTCGTCCATCTGCTGTCACTATTTGTGTCTTTGTGTCAGCTAATGCCAACCTGAGCCATTTCGGCGATCGCTTTGCCTTTGCTGGCCAAAGCTAAACACGTTAGCCAGGTTAGCTGTTTGGCTAACCAGCTCTGGCTGCCTCACTACGACCAGCGAAGCCAGTTAGCTTAGCCCGCTAGCTAGCTAGCTTTGCTACAACCTCCTTTAAAACTTGACACTGACTGACTCCAGTCGGTGGTTCGGGCTTGTTACCGACAAGCCGCTGTCGCTAAAAGCCGCGTCGGAGCCATGTCTGGACAGTCAACGGGCTGCGGGTTTCTGATGTCGGTTGTAGTCCACGGAGACTCGGCTCTGAACGAGCAGGAAAAGGAGCTCAACCAGCGACTCCGACGACTCTATCCAGCCGTTAATGAAATCGAGACCCCGCTTCCACGGTCCTGGAGCCCCAAGGACAAGTTCAGCTACATCGGGCTGTCTCAGAACAATCTCCGTGTGCACTATAAAGGTATGGCACGGAGGGCACTCTCAAGTTGAGCACTTTTATTACCCGATGCTAACGCGTTAGCTTAACTTGACGCTCTCAGAAAGGCAGCTGCCGTTGCGGCTAAAAACAAAGTAGCTCATCAACAACAAGACAGAGGACATCTTGCAACCCGACCAGCTGGTGAGGTGTAGCCACTGCCAACATCTACCCACCAGCTCGTTAGCTTTGCTGCGACCTTCTCAACCAGTTTGTCAGCTCCGAACTGTCACAATGAAGCTTCCTGCCGAGCCACCTTTTCAGATTTAATTAATAATCACGACAGCACAGCCTTTGACAAAGTACACAGAAGAGTGGCTTGGCTCCGTTTAATTCTGAAAAGCCCGCATCGTTCACAATTAATAGGCTAATATATCATTTAGTGATTAAATATGGGGGGACTTAGTGCGTCAAAACTCGGAATTGGCCTCAGAAGAATTATTATTAGGCTTCCACGACGACATGGGCTGTTTGTTGTTGCTGAGGGTTTAATATCAAGTGTCTTGTTTGACATTCAGGTTGGACTAGTTGCTTAGCAAGGCGACCATGATGAGGGCTTCGAGTGCAGGCCTAGGAGAAAAGGCTTCGGATAAGGTGTAACTGTGCTTCCTGGGTGTGTTCCTCTGTACTGGGTCTGACTGGGTTCTGCTCCAGAACTGTGCTCTTCCTTGTTGCAACTAGAATGTTCTGTCTTTGCACCTAAATTCACCTGAATCTCATATTACAGGTATGGACATGTTAAACGTTACAATGTTGCAAAACGTATATATTTTTTTAATAAACCTTTTCCAGGGTCTACAGTAAAAACACCTGAAGTTGCATCTTCTTTATCCGTATAAATATAGTCACTATAAATAATTCGCTTTTAAAGTCAGACCATATTTGATTAATTAGGTTTTGCTGTTCTGTGTTTTCTGGTGGTTCATCTGTAGATGAATAATAACACAAGTGGATTAATTAATATAAAATTTAAAATAAGGTATTTATCTATAATTATCCTAAACTTATTAGTTTAATGAATGATATCAGTTTAATTTAAATGGCAAGACCTCACATTTCACATATGATATAAAAAACATGTCCATTTAATTAGCAACCGTTTTAATGACTAATTCATTATCACAAATGCACATGTTGCATACAGCCAAGTCAAATATAGCTGCGTAGAGCTAAATAAAGAACTGGAGGATAGCCTAACAACATATTTGGATACTAAGTTGTGCTTCGGATGTCTCCAAAAGCTTTATAGACTTTTTCTATATTCAATTAATCACAAAGAACACATACAGTAACTGTAAATTATACTCCACAACATGCTGATTTTTAAAAACAATGGTATTTTGAAATCATGATATGATAGACTGATTTAGCATCTCAAAACCAGTGACATGATTTGTAAATGGCAGAATTTAGTTATTGGAATATGCAAGATTTGCCTGTAATATTTTCACATCAGATAATCATCAGCTCATCCCCAACTTTTGAGTAATTTAACACATTTTTATCTGAACGAGGCCTAAATGTAAATGTATACATGGATAAAAAGAACATTTAGAAATTAGTTGTTAAAAATATGTTTTTGCTCAGTTGTTGTGAAGCATTTTTACAAGAGCAAATGTCAGTTTTCCATATTTTTTTTATGCGGTTCTAATTCATCTAAAGCAGCATGATCCAACCTGTTAGTGAAGTTACACATCAAGCTTCTTTTGGATCACCAAATATTCTCATTAGAAAACAATATTGTAACTAGTAATGTAAGCAAAGGAATATATATTTTTTAAATACATCAGTACATCTTAAGATATCAGCAGTCTTACTAACGTACTTCGTATGACAGTATTTCCACGGATATTGAGCAGCCATGTTATGTACTGATTTTAAAGACTAGACTGCTGCTAAGTAATGTTAAACAGAGTGAACACGCCTGATATATGACCCTTAATAATGTATCCAACAGCTCTGCACTCTGCTCGGGCTAATGTTAGCTTTAAAGACTAACGGGATGAGTAGGTTCACAAGTCCTAGCACAGGAGGTTCATGTTCAGAACATTTCAGTGATCATCTTGTAACCACTGGCCTGTGCTCAAGGTTGACTTGGGAAAAAAAATTAACCAATAATACGTTTATTTTTCAAATCTGAAAACTAAAAACCTCAACATGTCCTTATGTTGGTTATCGAGACACAGCGGAAATTATGTGTAAACCATAGTTATTACAGGTAAATATGACTTAATTAAGTTTACCTTGTTTCACACTAAAACATGTATTTGGTCATTGCGTTTTAGTCTTAATAAAGGGTTTTAAGTTGTGACAAATATCTTTGATTGTCCTCTATCATTACTTGTAATATAGTCACTTGAGGGCGAGTCTTCCACGAAGCAGCTCATCTAAATTTGCATATAATCTGTAGGTAACTGAAGTCTGCTGCAGAGAACATTTTACTGGGCATCTGATTTATTAAGGATTTGTAATTAATTAGTATTAACCAGTAAATTTTTGTACTTTTTACTCCACACCCAAGGTCATGGCAAAACCCCCAAGGATGCAGCATCTGTACGGGCCACTCACCCCATCCCAGCCGCCTGCGGGGTCTACTACTTTGAGGTGAAGATTATCAGTAAAGGCCGTGATGGGTAAGAACACAGAATAAAGTTAAACACTGAATTATTTTAATGTTCCACGTTGAGACATCAAATGTTTGTTACTTGTGTTATAAATGTACAAAATGTTTTATTTTAGATTATTTGATAGTTGTACCTACAAATCTCTGAAATCTTAAAGAATTTGTTAAAAATAAGCTTAGTTGCATGAGAAACTGTGACTAAAGTAATGTTTAGATATTTATACTTTTGCTTGTTGACATTATGAAGTGAGGTAAAAGCTATCGCACAGTTGTCTGCAGCCACACAAATATCAATAACAACTTAAATTTAAATCAAATAATTTCCCTTTGGGATTAATGAAGTATTTTTGAATTGAATTAAAATTAAAAGGAGGAGCAGCTTTGCCTGCAGTATTTTCTGGTGTATATGATTTTTTTCTGAACAAGGCTACAATCAAGGTCACTGACTTAAAATTTACTAATTATACAAACGGCCTCTAAACTCAGTTATGATGAGTAGTAATGTGTTCATCTGGGAGAATGTACCATTTTCTTTAAACTGGTTGGAAATCTTTAAAAATAAAGTTCTAAGTCATTTCATATTTTTATTCTGTATAAACTTTTTTGTCATTTTACATCCGGGGAAGTTTCTTGTCGCTAACCTTTTTATGAATCGAGGTTTATTTTATTCGAATTCCTACGCGCTTTCCTCCACTACGAGTCCGTTAGTTCTGCGTTATGTTTGTAAATGTTTAGCACATGAACTGTACATTAGAAAAGTCTGTATAAATTCAGATCATAGCACTCTCTGTTCCACTGCACACCCCAAAGCTTAACGAATTGGAAGCAAGATTTAAATTCTCCTGAGGTAGACAGCAGTTTGTAATCCTAAACTTGAGTCATTTAATTGGCTTTACAGTAATTCTAAGATGTAATCACTAAGCCAAGATTATTGATGCCAAAGAAAAAGCTTCTTTTCATGAAACGTAGATGTTTTTTTTTTTTTGGTGAACAGCAAAAATCTTCAAGAGGCTGTTCAGACATTTTAACAATTTCACACATGAACTATAAAAGAGGATTTTGAGTTATAACTGTGCGCCTACCTCTGAAAATATGGAAGAAGTGCTTAGAAGCATCCTTTTGTGGCTCTTAAGCAGGACATGATGTACTTTATGTGTTGCACAACAAAAGAAAAGCAATAAAAACAATTCTATAAAAGTGAAGTCTGGTTCTCTGGACTTTCACAAAACAAAAAAAATGTAGAAACGTTTCGTCTCTCATCCAAGAGACTTCCTCAGTCTGAGGTGCTGTATTCAGCTCAGTCTCTTAAATAGCACCTTCTCAGAGTGGATCAACCAGTTTGCTGCTGACAACCAAAACCAGCTGATCACATGCTCAAGAAGGACCATCAGCCTAACAATAGGTCATTAGCACCTGATGGCTGTTTACTATTCACAGAGGGCTGAGTGATACTAGCAATCACAGCATTGTAAGAGGGGGACAGTTGAACCTGGAGGCTCCGCCCCTGTTTAATGATGGACGATTTCTTTTCACAAAGATGGCCTCCTTTACTCCTCTCTCAAACCATCGTTCCTCTCTATCAGGATGTGAACATCTTCATCCATGAAAGAGTGACCTCTGACCTGGAGATGAGTGTAGACCGCAGAGTCCTGGCCTGATGATGTTGATCTTCTGTGCTGGTCCATCCTTTTGGCCAGTGGCTGTTTAGTTTCCCCAATGTAAGACTGATCACCCTCCTGACACTGAACAACATGCACAATATTACTCTTTGTGCCGGGGGACTGGTTCTTTGGACTGAACCAGTCTTTGCCGTAATGTATTTTTATATTTATTAATAAAACCGATTGTGCAAATGTGTAAAATTAACAAATTTATATCATCACCCAAAGATGAAAAAATAAATCCTCTTATTCAAACGGTTGTTTTCTAAAAGTTCAGTATTTTTGTTTCGAGTAGATATTTGGAGACTTGTACAAAACATCTGTTTTAAATAAAAAATAACTTTTGGATTTGTGAAAACTCGGCAAATTGATTTGTTTTCTCAAGTAAAAATGTAATTTTCTCCGTAAATTGTACACATAATCTCAAAAACATTAACTCTAACTAAATACGGCTTATTTCTTTAGAAGAAACTTAATAACTTCACATGTTTATTATTTGTGCTTGAAAACGTTGGCAGAAAGTTGTAGCTACATCTGCACAACTCCTACACATTGAATAAATGTGGTCATTTGTGGCAGCGTTCATAATTCCCAAAGGAACAAATTTAATCTTACTTTTAATCTATCTGGTCAAAATGAGTCTTTTATTAATAAATAACTGACTCTAGACTCATCGTACATTACTCAGTTGTATTTAGATACAAATTACAATAGGCAACATGATGCTTACTTCAGGTGTATGCAGCAATGTAAAATAAAAGTTTACTAAAGTGTAAAGTTTTTGTTTTTCACGTTCATCTGTTTTTACACTCAAAACCAAAAATCTAGTCGGATGTCTTGAGTGTGAAATTAAGTGACATTTTAAATAAATATTGTAGGAGACATTAGTGTCGTGTAAATTAAAAACCTGCTAACACTTTCGGGACGCCTGGTTTCAGTGACGCCAGCAGCTGCTGGTATATTGATAATATGAGTATCTTAGAAGATACTCCCTGTTTCTTGTGTTGCTGCTGCGTTCGGGACATTTTTGCTTCGACCTTGGGCCTGATGGGTTGTGTTTGTCGATGACGGTGACGGCACCCAGTTTGTGTGGAGTACAAGAAAACAGAAATTAATTGAAGACCCTGTGTGCTTCTTCCTCACTGCTGTCCGAATGTGTACATCTCAGCAAAACGCACCGCTTTAGTTTCATGAGCAGAGGGAAGATCTGTGCATTACATACGTTACTCTGCACCTTTTCATGTGTGCAAACAACTAAAAAAGTCATTGGGCTTGAATTATCACTCTGCATCGTGTTCAGGTGTATTTATTTATACTGCTGTCGGTCATTTACACAGATGCTCCCATGCTGCTGTGTTGGCTTGCTTCATTTGATTAGATTTAATCTCTGAAAACAAAATGGCTTTAGGTAAAATTTGAGCTTTATTTTAACGGTAATGTCATTTTACAACAACAATGCTCAAGCTATTCTCCCCCACATGTGAGGGATTAAGTTCTGGACTTAAGTTGGCTTCGTTTAGGAGCTTCAACAGGTTTGAACCTTTTATTTTCTTATATCTGTCCCATTGTTTGCCTATTTAAAAAAAATAAAGTAAAATCATGATTTGTCACCTGCAAATTGAAAATATGCACGTTAATGAGCCGGGCTCTTCTTTTTTTAAATCGTAAATGTATTAAGTTTCATCTCTGCTCCACAGGTACATGGGAATCGGCCTCTCAGCTCAGGGTGTAAACATGAACAGACTCCCCGGTAAGTTTACATTATCTCTAGTTTTGTCAGTTTGCTGTGTTTTTTAAATGCATATGTTTATATGTTGGATTTTATTTTGCTTGATAAAATACCACTACCAAGGAAAAAAAAAGTCCAGTAGGGAAAACTGCAATTATCTGATTACATCTGCATGTTTTAGTCTCGTGAGGCTTGAACACAGTGTTTGTATGAAGGTGGAAATGCTGCAGAAAGTGAATATGGAAATGTTCTGCAGCTGGTGATGGTCCCACTCTGTGACTGAGCTTACACTAAAAAAACAAACAAACATTGAGTAGCTTACTGTGAATTCTGTATTTACATTTTTTTTTTAATCTCTTTTTACTAATGCGTCACTACAGAGCACAATTAAACTGAGGCTGTAAGAAAAACATAACATTTAGTAAAGCAGAGATGCATAATGTTTAAAAACACATGGGGAACTGGTAATATCAAGACTTTTATCAAAACTTGTATACATTTTTTCATGATCAGGGCCCCTGAGAATTTGCACAAACTCTGTAGCAAAATAAAGGTTTAATGAAGGAATCCAATTTTAAAACCACTGTCCACACCTTGTGAGTATAAAAAAATATCTTCTGCTGGGACCTGTTCCTTCCCTGACGTGGTTCTAGTGATGAGAACGTCATGTGATGCCCTCTGCTGAGGTTATCAGGCCAAACAGGAACCCAGACGCCCCGTCATCGCTTCGAGAGCTAGACCCACCCAGAAATATCATTCTCTTCATACGCAGATAACAAGAGGCCAGTGCAAACTCCAAATTTCTCTGATGAATAAAGCCTAATGAAACTATACCAACTGGTGAACGGACACCAGAGTGCTGCAGCGTTAAATAGTCCCTGAGTGATGAATGTATAGCAGCAGGATTAAATGTGCAGCTCAGCTTTAACGCACAGATTCTTCCTGTTGGTTTCTAAGGTTAAAACAGCCCTGGGGCACAGCCATACTGAAGGAGAGGCTGCGTCCTCCTATTTAAAGATAGGACAAATGCACCCTACTTTAAGTTTTATATAAAGGCAACAAGAAGCACTGGACAGCTAATCTGCTCTATATACGAAGTCTATTCCAGAGGAAAACAATTACTGGTAATTATGTCCAGAAAGGCTAAAATTAACAGCCATGGGGAGGAAAAAAAAAAAGTTCAAAAGCTGCTATTATGAGAGCACTTTGAGTTTTATAAGAAAACCGAATAAGCGTCGCTGTGTTGCCGATGAAAGTGTTTTACCAGTAAAACACACACCAGTCCATTGAAAAGACACATTTCTTCAGCTGATTACTGATTTCCCACAAAGTGCCCTGATGAGTTCCTGAGCAAGGCATGAAATGTGCAGGTTTCTTTTAGCGTGCTAACAACAAGGTGCTGAGGTTGTCTTAATGGTTTAATAAAGAATCCTACGGCAGAGGCACAAAACAGCTGAATTATTAAATAGACTTTTGGTTGCATCAACAACTTGAGATGTCTTGTCCAGTTTCTCAGCCTGAATTTCTTTCACCGACAGTTTTCCATTTATATTTCTCTCGAGGAATTTATGAAAATTAGCTGAGGTGCTACCTTTGCATTTTCTCATAGGTCAGTCACACCCATTGTCAGCTGTTTTGCTGCCATTTGTTCTTAGTAGCCTAATTTTGTTTCACTTGTTCATACTTGTCACAAGTTGAAATAAGCGCTTTGTTGAGTTGAAGTCTTCTTTTTCCGTTTCATTCATGATGGCAAGTGATAAAACATGGTCGAGATGACGTTGTTGTTGTGTACTTTGAACAATACTTTTTATGCTCTGCTCATGGATGTATGAGTTTGTGTTCGCCAAAGTTCATGCTCGATAATCCAGGTAAAAATCAAACAATGTTCAGTCAGGTCATCTGGACTGGTGTTTTTTTTTTTTTTTTTTTTTTTTTTTTTTGCTGAGACGTTTCATCCTTCATCCGAATGACTTCTTCAATCTGAGGAGCCACCAACAAACACACTCCCATGGTGGAAAAAAATAGTTTCTGGTGATAAGATGGCCTCCGGGGCCCGCCCTCTCCCCCATCAACTCCTCTGAGGCAGCCATGCCAAAGTGGTCCAAAACCCCAAAGTTCATTCATTCGTTCAAGTTCTTTTGTGTTCACCTCTTTCAGGTTGGGACAAGCACTCTTATGGTTATCACGGCGACGATGGCCACTCCTTCTGCTCGTCTGGCACCGGACAGCCGTACGGACCCACGTTTACAACCGGCGATGTGATTGGCTGCTGCGTTAACCTCATCAACAACACCTGCTTTTACACAAAAAATGGGCACAGCCTAGGTAAGGAGCACTGAAACCAAGGTGAACTTGATCATGTATGTATTCGGTGATATAACCGGTGTCCTGCAGCTCTGTTCGGTTCAGTGTTTGTTTCTATTTTGATACCTGTTGTAACATCTAAATTGCTGACCGAAACAGTCAGAACGTTCTGATCCTATGTAGTTAAGACTTCTAAATTATTTCACAAATGTGCTATTTGACAAGTGCATTCAGCTAATCTGCCAAAGGATAGTTTTAAATTAGGAAATCAAAAGCAGGATACTAACGCGTCTGTTAAATCTTTTCTGTATAATCATTATATAAGTAGTGCCTCCTTAAAGTTTCAGGTCAACAGTAGGATTAGAGGGAAGTAAAATGTAAAAAAAGCAACAAAAGCTACTGAGTCCCCTAAGAAGACTGTAAATTAAATTGAGATAGACGCTGTTTGCTTTGAACAGTGACGCATTAAGTGATATATTTTATCTTCATGCAACTTTTACAATGCATACTCTGCAAAGAATACTGTTGTGATGTCATGTCACAATTTACTCACTTATTCCTCTAAAAGAAACTGGTGTGACAAATACTTATTTTATAGAAGCATCAAGTTTCTGGGTGGTTTTGTTGCAATCCTGTGAATTAAATATCTCAGCAACAGCACGATGGCATTTTATTTTTAATTTTTGTTTCAAGTCTTTGAACTAAGGATGAAGTGATGCGTTTGTAGATGTGCCACGGTGAAGTTATGAAACATGCATTTGGCTCAAATGGATTTTTTTTTTTTACTATGACAAATTTTCAATCAGATATTGTATTAGAATAAAATCAAGGGTAGTTGATTCACTATAAAAATCCATTTCTGCAAAATCCCTTTTTATATTTCTCAGTGGCATATCTAACAGAGATGAAAGTAAACGGCAAGTATTTGTATTTTGAATAAACAAGAATATTCTCCAGAGTAAACGGATGTGATTTCTGTTCTCTACACAGATTTTTATATTTTCATTATGTGCGTTGTTTTCGAAACGCGTGTTCCACAGCTAACTCGGGCCATGTGAGCCATCTTGCTAAAGATCCATCTTGGTTCATGTAACTGATTTTGTTAAGTTTCTGTAGAAAGAGGATGATGCCCAGATTACTTCATCTTCTGTAAACACACAGACCGTGGCCTTGTGGACTGCTGAGTTTAGAAATGGTCAAGTCATACTGACACTTTCTTTGTTCCTCTGCAGGTATTGCCTTCACGGACTTGCCAGTAAGTACCCACTTTTGTTTGCCCTTGAGTTACCTTTAGTTTCCATTATTTATCATCTCTGTTGGACACCAGGTTATTCATAGAAGTGTTTCATCTTCTGCAGAATGTCCACTGCAGTCAACATGTTTACTCTTAAAAAATAGATTAAAGGCTGAAAAACCTGAATGGTTCAGATGCTTATCATATATTTCAGGTGACCACAAAGACATTTACTTCTATAAAATATGGCTGAAGTTATCAAGTCAATAGTTTTATGTTTGTTTGGCTGTTTTCAGTCATAAACAAGTATTTCTGGTGAAATTTAATGATGTTTTGATGTTTGATAATGTGCAGGATTTTAGTCTTGCACAGTGCCATCAACATTTTTTTTAATTGTATGGATAATTTTATAATGGCAGAACTTTAATTTGTATATTCATTCATGTACTTATTCTGTACTTATGTTGTGATGCGTTCTTTAATGCGGGCAGTTTCAGTGTTTCGTCACCCCCTTCCTTATTACAATGTTCACAAGTCACATGACTTGTAAGAATTTATTTGAATTAAGCAAAAATAAATATATCAACACTTTTACCAGGCACACGTTTTCTAAAATCTAAACCTGCGTAATTGTGTTTATAGTACTAGCACATAAAGTTTATTAATCTTCATAAAGCTAGAATCTTTATTCTTCTGTGTTTGTAACAAACGGCTGTGAATACGACGTCATAATTCGAGTTGCACCTACCGTCTTTCCCTCTGCTAATTCGTTTGAACGCGTTAAAATGAGTCCTAAACTGCCGTCTGTGTTTTACCTTAAGACGCCAAAGGATTGTGAGAAAGTTTAAACACGATGCGTCCATCATGTCGGTCTTGTTGTCCTCCTACACCAAATGAACATTAGTTCCAGTGGGATTCATGCATGCATTAACGGAGTGGAGGATGAGAAGGGTTTTTCTTTCCCCACCTTCTATGTATTCTGTTGCAAGTGAAAACAGGCACTGGCTGTTTTTGTGGGAAGAAAAGAAGAGTCTTGACCACAACAATAATCTATTGAGCAGAAAACCAGACTTGGCTGTGAGCCTGATATTCATGTTCCTCCAGAGTTGTGCAGTGAAGTGCGTCACCTCGGCGCAGCTGACCTTTGTGGTTATTGAACCGCGACAAAGACGAGCCTGAGAGACACACGTGGTTTCTATTCTTTTTCTTTAAGGGGCTTTAATACACCATATCCATTCATCAATGTAATAAATTCAAAAATTGCTTTCTACTTTTTACATTTTTCACTCGTGCATATATTCTCTATTTAAAAGTAAAATGGACACTTTGTATTTTGTGGACGTTTTAAAGCCACAGCAGCAGAAAATCCTGTATGAATGTCTCATGCTGCTGCACAGGATGTTGAGATTTGGCTTTTTTAAATCGACTATTCACGTAAATTATCTATTGGCTACGTTTAGCATTATGTTTTTTATTATCATCCAAGTAATTTAGACAGAATGGATCATTTTTACTAATTTAATTAAAGCAACACAGACAATAAGAAATGTGAGAACTGTTTATTTTGCTGCCATGAATTGAAATTACAAAATCAAATGCGTATCGATAAACTGATTTCAGATTCAGATCTGAAATCAGTTTATTTATAGAGCCGTGAATTTTCTCGCAAATGTCTAATTCTTTGTCAAACAAATCAAATTTACTGAGTGTTCAAAAAACGCTGCTGCGTGTTTGAACTGTTGGGTCTGGTCTTTGCATAGCATCTGCAAACAAACGCTCCATTCTTTGCTCTACAATCAGCATTTAAAGGGCTTTAATCTTACTGTAAAATTCTGATTGTTAATCCTGTCAATACTGGCATTTTAATCTGAGTTCCGTCTGAAAAGCTATTGATCTGCGAGGACGACATTTTATCAGGAGGAAACTGTAGTGACAGGAAGATTAGATTGAAACAATAGCCAAGTCGACTGCCAGAACTGGATGCCAAAAAGGGTTTGAGTCTAAAATCTCAGCACCTGGCAAAATAAATGTTGACTCATTGTTTCTTATATGAACAAAGCAGGACATCTGTCACTTTGATTAATGTGTTCTGCTGAATCTGCTCAGTGGAAATCATTCTTATTATTAAATTTAACAATTTAACTCTTATTTTACTTTCAAGGGTTAATTGTAGACAAAAGGTTATTTCCTCTGATTTTTCCTGCCCTCTCATCATTTCCTGTTTTGATTGATTGTTCAGATTACATTCCTTGTGCCGTTTCCTCCTCGTGACCGTTCTGTCTCTTTCTGCTGCAGCCCAACTTGTACCCGACCGTGGGCCTTCAGACTCCAGGGGAGGTGGTGGATGCAAACTTTGGCCAGCATCCGTTCGTGTTTGACATTGAGGACTACATGCGAGAGTGGAGGACGAAGATTCAGGCTCAAGTCGACAGATTCCCCACTGGAGAGCGTGAGGGCGAGTGGCAGTCCATGATCCAAAAGTAAGAGGATTAAAAAACTGAATTATTACCTTCGTTTGACAATAATGACTAATTATTGTCAAATTTCAAACAATATTATCGTTTATCGCAATAATTTATGAGACAATTAATCGCCCAGCAAAATTGGTTATCGTGACAGCCCTATGTTCACATTGACTTTATAAAAAAAATACAGACTGGCACCATTTTAGATTTGTTACCTCATGTACCACATGTGGTGTGTATGACAAATAAATCTCTCTGAATCTGAATCTCTGAATTTTGCTGTTTTGTCCGCACCAAGGCAACAACCGTTCATCCTCTTTATGGGCGTTGGGTTTGTTTGGTTTCATGTATGAAGAGGATACTCGCCGTCTTTTATAGATGCAGTTTAAGGTTGTTACCTCGCAGTAAAGGAGACGTTGACTGAACTTTCAAAGCTCGCAGTAACTTTTGGTGCACGTTGTTCCTCGCTTCAGTCTGTAGTTTAACAAGTTCGGTTATTACAAACTGTTGCTGCATTCAGGCCTCATTAAACTTCTCATTCCTGCAGACATAAACGGGAGATGGATGAAGGTGGAACATTTTCAAAGACAACAGATTTGATCTTTAAATGTTTTGCATGCTTGTTCAGCGAGTCATCCTTACACCAGCAAAGTGGTGGTTTGTTGGTATTCTTGTTTTTTATTTATATACAGTATTTGAAATAATTGCTTGTTTCATCCTAGACTCTGAGGCAAAGAGTAATTTTCTGTCTGTTCAGCAGATTTGTAGTAACTGAGTTTTAGTATTGAGAGTTTAGAAAAGACCCCAAGTGATGTGATAATGTTGACCTGAGGTGGATCAAGGCCCAGCTGGACCACTGGCCTCAAAGAGTCTGAGCCGTGATCCAGTAGAAAAGCTGAGGGACTCGGTTTTGCTCATGCCAAGCCATGATGGGATTAGCTCTCTGTTGCTATGATTACTTGTCCTGAATGGATTAAATCTCCATTTGGTGCAGATTGGAGTAGAGGGTGGGTGTAATGGAGAGTCGTTGCTTTGACCAGAAAAGACGCTCGCAGGCTGGGAGGAAAACAGGAAGTTTTTACGCTCTCGTCAAAGCGGTGAATGGGAAGCGTTGTGTTTGTGGAGCGACAGAAACATAACGAGGAGTCGTTCAGAGCAAAGGCCTCTAATCACAAATACCATGCTTACACTGTCAACAGAGCTCATTAAATAAAAATAAACTGTGCTAATAGCATGCAGCCAAGAAACGAGATCATCCTGAAAACATTGGTGCCGTCTGAAGAATTGCAGGGACTTAAATAATGATGAGGAAAGTTTTGTTATCGCTTCAAAAACAGAAGTGAAAACCAAAGCTGAACAGATTTCTTATTGTGGATTAGTTTACAAAGTGACTTTCTGCTTCTTATATGCCATTTATACATTTTCTGTCACGTTTAAAGTGACATAAAACATTGTTTTCTCACATTCTGTTAATTTAATAAAGTTTTTAGTCAATCTGAACAGGAAATACTGGTTAAAAGTAATTTCTGCTTGTTCTTATTTGATTCAGCTTGATAAACCACTTGTTCTATGCTTTGTTAGTAATGTTCAGGCCATAAAAATAAAAAAACCTCAAAGTTTGCACCGCGTTTGTCTTGGATCTGTATCAGGTCTTACCTGCAGGGTATTTTACTCATGAATCTTATGAGGCTTCCTAAACTTTGCAGCAGTTAAATTATGCTGACGTGCTGGTTTTGCTCTACACGTTGATAAAATGTTTAAAGTAATCTTCAAGACAACCATCTTAAAAACTGATCATACTGTCTGACAAGGGTTAGGGGTTTTGAAAAGCCAAAAAAAAAATTTTTTTTTGTAAGAATGTGATAAACTGCCCATATTTCAGTGAGTGCTTTGTTTGTTTTCCTGACAGGATGGTGGCTTCGTACCTGGTGCACCACAGTTACTGCGCCACCGCTGAAGCCTTTGCCAAATCCACCGACCAGGCCGTGCACGAGGAGCTTGCCTCCATCAAAAACAGACAAAGTGAGTCTGTTGGTTTATTGTTTTTTACTTATTTACATGTTTACTTATTCCAGATTTTTGTACATGGAGAAACATCGTTTTGTTATGAATTGCAGGACGTGGACGGCACTGAAACTCACATTACTCTTAAGTATTTAAAACCTGTAACAAGTCATAGAAAAACATTGATTTAAAAAATACACATTTTAAATATTGAAGTTTTGACTAATAAACAAATTTATTAAAAGAAAATGAGGGACCATGAGGTGAGGGACCAGACAAAGTGCAGCCCAAAGACCCCGATGATGAGAGAAATAAACGGACTTAATGTTCCCTTGCCCGGACGTGTTGATTATTTCAAACCTCAGGATTTGTGAATATTTAGATAAATGTTTGAACTAAAGTTGAGGCTAGAATCAGAAGACTGTAGTGTTTGTGAGTAAAGCAGCAAAATGTTTGCCGTTGGTTTGCAGAGATCCAGAAGCTGGTGTTGTCGGGTAGAATGGGCGAAGCCATCGAGACCACTCAGCAACTCTACCCCAACCTTCTGGAAAGAAATTCAGACCTCCTCTTCATGCTCAAGTAAGACTGAACAGGGGTGGTAGACATAAACGGTTTCCATTTGTCCGAGTGACTTTTTTTCATCTCGGACAACCAGACCTCGAGGTTGTTCCATGGACGAGGATTAAAGTTCTCCGTCGCCGCGACTCTCATTTTGAACTTCTGTAAAAATGAAAAGGAGAAGAAACTTGTGTTTTGTTGTGGTCTTGTTAAAGCCATCCAATCTAATGATGATCCAGGGCTTAAACTGATTCTTCTTCCAAGAAATAAACAGAACCAGAGCCCAGTTTGACCCGAGCAGAGCAGGTGAGCGCAGTGTTCCCAATGCAACTGAGGAGGCCTCTAATCACAAATACCATGCTTACATGGTATTGCTACTTACATTGCTACTGTACAAACTACTGTTTCTGTACTGTTTTCCAAGGAGGACGCCCTACACCCTAACAAAAGGTGATGACGTAATAATTTATTAAACATCCACATATTAAACGTGTTTGCACATGACCAATTCACTGCAGCTGAAGGAGATACCTGAACTGATACACCATCACCCCCGCGCCCCTGACCTCCCCGAGACTTTTCCCATCTAAAATCTAACTTCGTATTAAATGTTAATGCATTTGGAGCGTCGTCATCGTTCAGACCCGTGCAACTTGCGTACGTTACCAAACTCCTGGTCTTCAAATGAGACGGCATCTCCAACAGGCGCTCAGCCTGAGTGTGTAACAATGAGAGGCAGCGTCTGCTGCTTTAATTCTTATAATTAAACAATTTTAATGCTAAAAGACTAATATTTATATGCCCCAGATTATAGCAAAGTTGTGTCCCTGTTTAACTTTTTTTTTTACCTTTAAATTCACCAAGTTATCTCTGAGAGATATTTCAGGTGTTTGTAGTTTATTATAAATATCTGCAAACTTAAATTCTTCACTGTTTTAACAACAACAAGGTGTTGTGTCTGTCTGGATGAGCTAAACTGGATTTATATTTAGAACCACACCGAGGGGTAACTACTGTGGTAAACGTACTTGAATAAATTATCAAATATGAAAAATAAATAGTATTAAATAACTACCTGAGCTGAAATCCTGTAAATAAAATCCCTTTGAATAAAATGTTGATGTTAGGGCAGAAATATGTCAATCAGAAAAAATGAAAGTTAAATTATCTTCCTTTGCTTTAATTTTGTTTAAATGTATCTGACCACCCCTCAATTAAAAACACTGAAATGAATGATGTTGGTCTGGATGGAGCTTCATTAGAGACCACTATGCTGTGTACTTTTACTAAGGTCATCTACACTCTGTACTGTGTACTTCTACTAAGGTTACGTACTTTGTATTCTCCTCGTTAGGTGAAAACCTTTGAGAATTGAGCTGTACGCAGGAAAAAGCTCTCGAATGTGTGGTGTGGGGAAGGATGCTTGGAAAGATTTTCTGCTAGAATACTTTTTTAAATACGCTGCGAGTGCCTCTTCAAAGTCTGAGGACGACGAGGAAGTCCAGAGGAACTCAAATTTGTGCAAAAGTAGCTTTAAATTTTTTGTTTTGAAGGTATAAGTTAAATAAGCAGACATGTTTTTTTTGTTTGTTTGTTTTGCTGCAAATGCACAGAAGCTTTTTATTTTATTTAATCTTTCTTGGTGTTTTTTTTTTTTTACACAATAATCTTCCAAAATGTTCCTTCTTCCTTTTATGATTCTTTTATTCTGCTATAATCTGCATATTGACCGCTTTCTTTCCACCCTCTGCACGCTCTTGATTCTTTTTAACTTCATTATTTGTTGTGGCTTCTGTTTGCTGTCTCCCTCCCCGTCCTCTCCCATTCCCCTGCGTCTCCAGGGTGAGACAGTTCATAGAGATGGTGAATGGGACGGACAGTGAGGTGAGGTGTCTTGGTGGACGCAGCCCAAAGTCTCAGGACAGTTACCCCGGCTCCCCCCGGCCCTTCAGCAGCCCCAGCCACAAAGCCAGCGGCTCCCAGCCCTACCTCACAGGTACAGTCTAGCTGTGCTCCGTGCATTCACATCTGGCTGCCAAAGGAATCCAGTTTGTGTACAGAATTAAAAAAGAACTGACATAAACATCAGATTTTCTGTTGACTTTTATGTTAAAAGGTTAAAATGAGAGAAACCGCAAGTCACAGCCATCACAGTCACAGCACATTAAAAAAATAAATAATTAGTCAAATGAAAATGAAGTCACTTGTGTCGTTCAAAACATCTGTATCTGCTGCAGGGCTCGACAGTAACTGCTGTAATGGCGTGACGTCTAATAAGAGCCACAGCTCCTCCCCTCACAGCCACAAGCCCAGCCCCCCCAGCGCTGGTTCTACCATCCAGGGTTCTGACATCAGCCTCAACGGGAGCCACAGCCAGCAGCCCATCACCAGGTACCGAGTAACGCCACACCAACACAGCAGGATGACGTGCACGTGCTGGACTGAACTCTGTGGCCCTGCTGTGTCCACCACACAAGATCTAAACCTCCAGGATCAGTGGTTTAAAACTGTTCTTTGTGAAAGAGGATTTGGAAACGACTAAACCAGGCACAAAAACAGAACTGTTGAATAAACTCTTATCCACGTACATAAAGGTGGAACGATGAATTCTACAAGAAGCACAGCTGTAACGATCTGTAATTACCGTCAGACCTCATTTCTCATGCACTAAAGTAACTAGTAGTAAACACTGTTTACAGATGAAGTGTTTAACGCCGGTTATTCTAGTTGGTTGATTTCAGTCACACTTGCTGCGAATAATTTACAATAATGTCAGTTTGACGTTGATGACAGGAAAACGACTTGCTGCTGTAGACGGAGCAGAACCTGCTAACGGTGGAATTTGTCTTTGTCCCGTTCCCTCAGTAACGACGTGGACATGGAGGTGGACCACTTCACTAACGGAGTGACAGAATCGTCCTCCAATGGTTTTCTGAACGGTACCTCTAAACACGCCACAGAACCCGACGACTGCGATGCAGACATGGGTGGGTAGAGAGTGGAGACGATAAATGGTTGTTAATCTCCAACGTTTAGTGAGTCGAGTTGTTTGATTGATCAAGCTGACTTTTAGCAGACTCTTCAGCACATATGTGTCAAACTCAAGGCCCGGGGGCCAAATGTGGCCCTCGTTGACATCTTATCTGGCCCTCAAGATGATATGTGAAACATAAAATACTACTATACTTGGAATAATAATAAAAAGAGGTATTTTCCAGCACTGGGTGTAAGAGCTGAACAATGAACCCCATCTTACAGGAGCTTCATTGGAGGGGAAAGTGCTTCTAGTTTTGTTAAATTGACAGTAATCATAACTGAACTGTGTGCAGAGGTGGAGTCGACTCAGTCCAAGAGGCAGCTGTGCGGCGGGAGCCAGGCGGCCATTGAGAGAATGATCCATTTCGGCAGGGAGCTCCAGAGTATGAGCGAACACCTCCGCCGAGAATGTGGCAAGAACTCTACCAACAAGAAGATGTTGAAGGTGACGCAAATCACAAAGCTTTGTTGTAAATGTTTAGATTGATTTCACGTCTGAGGCATTTGTTATGAACTACTTTAACTAAATATAAATCTTTTTTTTATTATTAGAAGAAATCTACTAAAAATATTTATATAATTTTGCACAATACCATGTCGGTTCCTGAGATCTGGAGCAAAAATACTTGAGCAGCCGATGCTAAAACATCTGTTTTAGAAAACGCTAAAGGCAGAAGAAAATGCACAAACGCGTTCTGGAAATGTGTGTTTTCTTTATGACACTTGATGAACGAAGGATCAGGGTCCCTGATGGCTGTTTCTCTGCTGAGATCAGTAATTTCTGTTAGAATAGATCTACAATATTGGCAAAAGAACAGGGATTTAAAAATAAAAATAATCAGTAGACTTTCAGCAAATCCCTCAAAAACATTCTGTTCTTTCAAAACGTCTCGTAAACTGTTCAGGACTATATGTTTAAAAGGACCCAAGTACGTTTATTTTCTGTTGTGTGTTAATATGCAGAATACTTTTTTTAGTAAGTTGAAATCTATGAGATGTATTTGATAGAGTGGAGACTCGGTAATGTACTGTATTTGTTTGACAACATTTGAACTCGAGTGTTTAAAATGTGGAGGACCGAGTGGGGAAACATGTTGTCGTTGAGAAGATGCAGTCGTAAAACTTCAGGAATATTTGCAACACGATCAAAGATGGCTGTCAGTTGTCGTAAATTTTGTGAAATGTGAATTTTGCTGCAGGATGCGTTCAGCCTGCTGGCCTACTCTGACCCCTGGACCAGCCCAGTGGGCTACCAGCTGGACGCCGTCCAGAGAGAACCGGTCTGCTCCACCCTCAACAGTGCAATATTAGGTATCGTCAGTATTTTCATCACTTTTGAGCTTTGAAGGAAAGTTCTTTACAGGGACAAGCTGTTCTGATGAGAAAATCACGAGGGCAGAATGGAGGTGCTGAGTTTTACAGCAGGTTGTGACGTCGTCGTCCTTTTTTCTTTTCTTCTCCAGAGACTCACAACCTTCCCAAGCAGCCCCCCCTGGCCCAGGCAGTGGGTCAGGCTGCCCAGTGCCTTGCCATCATGGCACGAACTGGCATCGGCTCCTGCGCCTTCGCCTCTGTGGACGATTACCTGCACTAACCATATGCCCCCCCCCCACACACACACACACACACGCAAGCATGCACTCAGAGGGCTGGCCAGAAATGTCTTCCTCCCCTCTTCCATCCATCTAGTCCTGTTAGCTGAGGAGAACATCCTCCATAGGACCAGTAGAGAGTTTCCATCTCCGTCGCTGCTTGTTCTGCTTCTACAAACCAACATGAACGCCACGGAGGGTCGGGAGTCATTTCTGGGCAGATCTTTGGCGTTCACACCACGTACATTTAAATACACAAACACCTGCATAAAAAAAAAAAAAAGTTACGCCTTCCCCTCTGTTGTCCCATCCTTCAGCCCCCCCGAGGCTGCTGCATCCTCTTGACTGACAGCGAGGGAACGGCAGCAACTTGAAAACACTGAGCTGAACTCGTGGCCTCACGGCTGCAGCCCCTGCACGCGTGGGGGCATCAAGGCAGGGTGGGCAGCTTGACAAAACCAATAGTGATCAAATGTAAATGGTGAGGGGGAGGGAGATAAAAAAATATATATAACAAGACCTGTGGCCATCACAGCTGACGATGCTAACCTCAGTTAGCATGGCTTCCCAGGAGAACATGCACACAAACATGGAGGCTGACACCTGCTGAGGACAGGCTCGAGACCCTCTTCACCGAGCGCTCGAACCGCAGCTATCGACAGCGCTCCACCCCCCCCTGCACCAACTCCACCTCCCTCTGCCGACCAGAATATGGGCAGATTCGCATGTGGACTCGATACTTGGAAGAAGCCGGACAGAATCTGCAAGTCTCAACTTGACGTTCCCTGTTTTTAATCTTTAGTTTAGTTTTTTTTTTTCTTCAGCAGAATGAGGGGGGGTCGGAGGAGTTTACCCAGCGTTTTGTTTTGTTGAATTTAATTTTTTCAGGTTTACAAGGCATGGTGCAGACAATAATGATTATTATTCTAATTATCATTACATTAATTATTGTTGCATTCACAGTATATTTGTTGAGCGCCAGCAACAGCAAGTTCCACCCACTTATTAATAAAGGTCCCAATTCCACCGATTACCAGTGACGAGCGTGTGTACATGTTAACGTTTCTATAAGAATTTAACAAAATGGAACTATATCAATAGAGTGACCTATTTAGTTATCAAAAAACTAGGAAATCATAAAAAAAATCTTTTAAATGTTTGTACTGACACCAGCAACCCCTGAAATGTGCTGGCTGTTCCCTTTTTCGTTGCCTTTTTGACTCCAGGGCTCCTACAAAAGCAGAATGTTGACAGGTTTTGATGATTTGTTGGACGGATTCTCATCAGGAAAAACCTTCAGACGCTTCTGAACAAATCATTCACCCTCTTAAATCCATGACGCACAGCACGCATTGATTTTATTTCCATATTAATTTTCGAGCCGTAAGAAAACTCAGAGCCAAAATGGCCCTTTTATTTATCCTCCTGAGCTCTAGCTGACCCTTTGCCTCTTTAATAAATGGACTTAAGAGTTTTCTGAACTGGATTTGTATCAAAATAACAGGATCATTAAAGGTACTCGTTGCAAAAAGACATTTAGATGAAAAAAATGAGCCAATCCACTTGTTAATGCTAAAGAGAAGCGGTCGAGAATAAAAATCTGGGATCAAACGGTGGCGGAGCATCAAAGACGGAGCTCCGCCTTTAAACGTGGCTTTTTAAAACGCCTGCTAGAACAAGCTGTTAACTTCAATGCTTTTTCAACACTCGTAGGTTTTTAATCCTATCCGCATACTTTATTCAAAAACCTGAGCGCAAATACAAACTAAATTGTCACGTTTTGATCCCAGATGGCGTTTTCATGGCTGTTGCCATTATTGGGTGTATTTCCAGTCACTTTGGCCGTTTCTGTAGACGAACAAACCATTGAGGCACCGAGTCGCAGCACAAGTCGTCTCACGGCACTGAACAGAAACATTCACTTGGTTATTGTCAGCCGGTCTTCATTTTTTTAAATTACGACTAACCATTTATGAGAAAATTATTCTATTCAACGAATACCTTTTTTTTTTTTTTTTAAGTTCAGTTTTAAAATATTGTTCAGAAAAAGAGTACATTTTATCATCAGCATTTATGCTTTAAAACTGACGTTTAAAAATGGTTTTATTTTTAAACCTTACTGCTGCGCTCAGTTTGCCCCAGGTACCGCTACTGCTCCCCACAACACCCTGTAAAAATAGTTTAAACCTGAACAAGTCTCTTATTTGCATTGTCCCAGAACAAATACCAAATTAAAACAAAATGCAGGTTCGCTTTTCTTTTCAGTAGTAGTTTCATTTTTTTGTTAGACATGTTTTCTGTTTATACAGTTCACAGAATTGGCTAAAAAGACGATCAACTTTTCACCAGTTTTGATGTCGTTTTCCGTCTGCTATATTTTTAGGTAGCATTCAGTCTGCCTGTACGAACACAATTCCTCCCTGAAGGGAGAATTTTATGAAGCTTTCAGTTCATTCTGATTATTTTCTGCAGATAAAGATCAATCAGTATTGTCAACTGCACTGTGGCTAACATGTTATACCAAATATTTTACACGGATGACGGCTGAGGACGGGGATGCTGAGGCTTTAGACCCATCATCTTTAAGCCTAGTTCCCTTTAGGGGTCCAGAGTTTGCAGTACTCCTCAAGGTGGAACCGAGCTTTTCTGTATTTTGTTTTTCCTCTTAACTTTTATTTTTAATTCAGATCACAAGCAGTCACAGCATCGTTTAAAAAAAAAAAAAAGGTCTTAGACAAAGTGTCTGTTGTCTCGAGTACGGTCTGAAACCTATGCATGCCATAGTAAAAGTGGTGGTAAGATCAAGTTAGATGTCTTTTATTCTTTTGGTTTCTCCTTTTAGCCAGTTCACGGTGTTTAAGGAAAGATGTCAACCAGTAAGTTGTCCACTGCTGACTGTGTGTCCATTTGGATTTTAAAAAATGTGCAATTTGTGTGAGGGTGCAAAGATTTATATTAAAAATGACGAATAACAACGGCACTTGTGTGGATGCTGCGTGACGCCTGAAGCTCGAGTTTTTCACCCGCTTTCCAGGGAATTCGTGGATCGGGGCAGTTTAATCCCAGATGACGTGTAGTCTGAAGATAATCCCGTAAATCCATTTTCTCAAGCTGAACACAAAGGTGGAGAAACTGCTTTTATGAAGTTCACCGCCCTTAAAATGTAATTTCTCAAGATCAACGTCTCACAAATATACTTGTGTTTGTCTGAATCCTGCGACGGGACTTCAGGTGATTTTTGTCCATTTCCTTTTTCTAGTGAAAGTAATGAAGTCTTGCGTATGCACGGTGATGTGCACAGTTGCTACATTTTCCAGTTTAAAATGTCTTGGCACTAGTGGTCAACTGCAAAACTGAGTGAGGAGAAAAAAGCACAGATGGGAGGCATTTTATATAGAAATGCATATCGCCCGCCAGCATTTATCTTGTGGGATCTGTTGGCCCTCAGTGTATGTGCTGGGGGCGACTTTCTGCTACTACCACAGAAATACAGGTGCTGGTCATGAAATTAGAATATCATGAAAAAGTTGATTTATTTCAATAATTCTATTCAAAATGTGAAACTTTATTTCAGTAATTCTATTCAAAAAGTGAAACTTGTACATTATATTCATTCATTCCTCACAGACTGATTTATTTCAATAATTCTATTCAAAAAGTGAAACTTTTTTATATTATATTCATTCATTACACACAGACTGATTTATTTCAAATGTTTATTTCTTTTAATGTTGATTATAACTGACAACTAATGAAAACCCCAAATTCAGTGTCTCAGAAAATTAGAACATTAAGACCAATTAAAATTATTTTTAGAAATGATGTCCAACTGAAACGTATGAGCATGTTCAGCATCAGTACTTAGTTGTTGCTCCTTGTATCTGGATCACTGCATCAATGCATCGTGTCATGGAGTGGATCAGTCTGTGTCACTGCTCAGATGTTCTGAGAGTCCAGGTTGTTCTGATCGTGGCCTTCAGCTCTCATGAATTGTTGGCTCTGGTGCATCACATCTTCCTCTTCACAACACTCCATAGATCTTCTATGGGGTTAAGGTCAGGAGAGTTTGCTGACCAGTTAAGACCATGGACCTTAAACCAGGTACTGGTAGCTCTGGCACTGTGTGCAGGTGCCAAGTCCTGTTAGAAAATTAAATCTGCATCTCCATAAAGTTTGTCAGCAGCAGGAAGTCTCTAAAACTTCTTGGTAGACGACTGCGTTGACCTTGGACCTCAGAAAACACAGTGGACCAACACCAGCAGAAGACATGGCCCCAAACCATCACTGACTGTGGAAACTTGACACTGGACCTCAAGCAACATGGATTCTGTGCCTCTCCTCTTCCTTCAGACTCTGGGACCTGGATTTCCAAAGGAAATGCAAAATGTACTTTCATCAAGAGAACATAACTTTGGACCACTCAGCAGCAGTCTCAGGCGAGACGCTTCTGACGCCGTCTCTTGTTCAAAAGTGGCTTGACACAAGGAATGCGACAGCTGAAACCCATGTCTTGCATACGTCTGTGCGTGGTGGTTCTTGAAGCACCAACTCCAGCTGCAGTCCACTCTTTGTGAATCTCCCCCACATTTTGGAATGGGTTTTGTTTCACCATCCTCTCCAGGGTGCAGTCATCTCTATTGCTCGTACACTTCTTCTACCACATCATTTCCTTCCCTTCACCTCTCTGATAATGTGCTTGGACACAGAGCTCTATGAACAGCCAGCCTCTTTAGAAATGACCTTTTGTCTTGCCCTCCTTGTGCGAGGTGTCAATGGTCGTCTTTTGGACAAGTGTCCAGTCAGCAGTCTTCTCCATGATTGTGTAGCTACAGAACTAGACCGAGACAATTTAAAGGTCTTTGCAAGTGTTTTGAGTTAATTAACTGAATAAACTGTGACACCAGGCGTCTTCAATATTGAACCTTTTCACAATATTCTAATTTTCTGAGATACTGAATTTGTGGTTTTAATTAGTTGTTACTGTGTAATGAATATAATAATATACAAGTTTCACTTTTTGAATGGAATTACTGAAATAAACTTTTTCACGATATTCTAATTTTATGACCAGCACCTGTATTTGTAGAAAGTAATTTTTATGTTCGCTAAGGTTGATGAGCTGTGGAAGCACGAACTGGGTTGACTCGAGACTGAGCTGTAGATGAACACCCAGTACTTCCACTACAATCTTACTCATGAAATGTTTTGCTAAAAGACCTCTCCATGAACTGTTTCTAATGGCAGCAGGTAATAACCATTTCCTAACTCAGAACTGTATATGTGTAGTATCTGACAATAGTTCAAAACAATTATATAGTTGGTTATATGTTAATATATAAGTATTCTGATTGTTGAATCAGTGTATTTTATAACCTAGGTGGTTGTTGTGATTCTGTTGATGTAGCTGCAACTCTGAAGCTGTAGACTTTATTAAAAAAAAAAAAACGACAGTAATTTTACAAATAAAAAGCAAATTACCCACCTTAAAGCGGATCAAAACCAAACCTTATAAACTCCCTGATGGTTTCACAAGATGCTCAAAGAAAAAAAAAAAACCTGATCTGTTCAAGCAAAAACATTTTGAACCAGTTCATTCAAGGGTTCTGTTCTGGAAATGAAAATGGTTTTAATTTAGCTGTAAATCTTCACATTCAGTCTCTTCACCGTCCCAAACAGCTGCTTCCTTCTCGTTTCTGACCACTGGCTGCGATGTCCTCAGGAAGTCAGAGCTCTGTGAGCTCACAGCCTGGTGTAGAGGTCGTCCGCTGACCCAGTTCACGGTTCTGATAAACCAAATTCTCCGTTCGTCTCGTCAGCAGGAGGGAACCTTCCGCTTGTGGATCCACCTCTTCTTTTCCTTAGAGGCTGGAAAAATCAGATTATATATAAAGGAGTGTTGCAATATTCAAACAACCCATTTAGGGGTCTGGCCATGTTCTGTATTTAAATACTTATAAAAAAAAAAAAGGAAACTGCATTTAAATGTCAGGGTTCATAAGTGATGCAACAATGCTCTGGATTTATCTCCTCAGCAACAATGTTTAAATGTTCTGTGGCTGCGAGCAGCTCTGCCCGTCCGTTACTTTCGTCTGACACATTCGCAGCAGAACGTCGTTGCTCTGAATGAGTACACGCATTTACAGGAACAGCTGGGCAGAAATCTACGATCAGCGAACTTACCCCAGTCTTTCTTAATAAACTGAACAGCTGGTCTTTTGTTCTTTCCCGTCTTATTCTGGAGGGAGAGAACCTCGTTATCTGGAAGAGACAAAAACATCAAACGTGAACAACACGGTTACCGTCAGGCTGACAATCTGACGGAAAGCTGAAGGTCCACGTCGTGTCTGCAGCAGGACATCCAGAGGAGAGGACGCCTCCGAGACGAGACGTCGCTGTATAAAGATCGTCGTCTTTACAAACTCCTGCCACAGAGTGGAGCTTACACATTATTACTAGTAATTTAGACTTTTGAACAAATAAATCAAAGGCTGGTTCGATTCTGGACAAAGAACAAACGGCAGAATTCATTCTGATTAAAAAGTCTCAGAAAACTGAAAATACAAAAATACATTATTTTAATGCACTAATAATATATTTATTGCAAACAAACTGATTTACCGGTACTCACTTGACTTTTATTTTTCCCCTTCAAAAAAAGTTAACATTAATAACTTTTTAAGTGCATAATTGCAGTTTTTAACAAAGCAGAGGATATAATTTTTTTTAATTATTATTATTTTCAAGGTAGCATTATTACAATTAAAATATAAAACTTTATCTTTCAAGGAGAAAAACAACTTGTTTGTGCATTTCGTGGAAGTTTCTGACCATTAAGTTCAAATAGATAAGCTTGTAAATGTAACAGACACAAGTTAAACTCAGATTTTAGACCAGAATACAGATTTGAACCAGCAGCACACGTCCAAGAGGAAGAAAAGCCCTTTTGTGTAATTGTTCAGTATTACATCATCTGTATTAGTATTACGTTCATCATCATTACATCATCAAGTCATTTGGACATTACATGGTTACATTTAGTCTTTTTTGTTGTTCGGTGTTTTTTTTTTTTTTCAGGATTTATTAAAAAAAAACAAAAAAAACGTCAAACTGAGTTCCAAATTAATTAGGGAAGCACGATATTATCAGCATGGTATCGGTATCGGCCAATATTAGCGTTCAAGTTTAACATCAGCCATTCCATTAAAATAACCCGCCGATATAAAAGGCGCTGTTTTTACCTGCAGCACAACGTGGACGTCACGTGCACCTACCCGATCTCACGGCAGAGAGGAAAATTCAAAATGTCGGTGGTGTGGATGTTTAATTTTTCGTTGGTGAGGATGTCGGATTCAGAAGATTTATGGACTACGTTGAGCCTCGCCACATCGTCCCCCGTCAGAGATATTTTTCTGACGTAACGTTACCAGAGTTACGAGCCGTCGTTTCTGGCGTCACTGAGAAGCTAACAGCCGATAGCACGACTTGTTGGGTGAGTTCTACCACAGACGTTTGGACGTCGTGTTAGCCCGTTAGCATGATTATTCTTACAGCACAATGGACAGATAAAAACTTTGATCTTAAAACGTCTGTCCTTCATGCACAGGAGTGCAGAGGAGTCCACACTGCAGCTATAGGAACCTGGAACAAGCCTCCACAGGTGAGACAGCATCGCAGGTGACTAATGCTAATAAATAACATTTAACACTTTTCATTTAATATAAGTGTTATGCATATGGCTGTTAATGAATATATGTCACCAGCTCTTACAGCTGTTGCACAATTTTTAAAGCAAATAAGCCTAAATGAGAGGAATATGTTCTGACAAAGGAAAGTCTTTAAAAAATCTCGGTATCGGCCAAATAAGTTTTAACACATCGTCCAACAATCCAATATCGCGCATCCCTAAAATTAATTGTAGTAAATAACAAATATTGTATTAATGATTTTTTTCAACAAATTCAGCTGTTCTAGTTTGTTTAGTTGGTAGAGCCGTCGCTTCTCAGTGAAAAGGTTGCTGGACCGAATCCTGGCCGGGGACCTTTCTGGGTGGAATTTGCATGTTCTCTGCATGTGTGGGTTCCCTCCCACAGACCAAAAACATGTTAACTCTAGTCCCTAGGTGTGAGAGAGAGAGTGAATGGTTGTCTCTGTGATGGACTTGAGACATGTCCAGGGTGTCCCCCGCCTCTCACACAGTGACTTACTGGATATGGACACCAGTGGCACAGAAAGGAAGAAGCGGGTAAAAATAACGGGTGGACGGATGTTCAGTCAGCCTCTGCTACATTTGATTAGAAGGAGGAAGTGCTATGTGTTGTCATCAGTGTATGTCCCCATACAATGATGACATTAGTTCTCTGCATTTAACCCATCACACCTGATACACGCAGGTGGAGCCGTGAGCAGCTCTGTAAGTCCCCGGGGAACAGTTAGGGATTAGCTGCAGGACCTTTGCGGCCTTCTTACTTGTGCCCCTGCAGGTTCCCGGTCCGTACAGCCGCGACTGGAGGAAAGCCTCTGCTGCCCGCTGCTGGAAACATGACTCCTCTCGCTTAGTCACCGTCATCACCGTGTACTTCCCCTGAAAGCTGACGCAGAACGTGCACTCGATCAGCTTTATTTTAAACGAGAACACATCAATTAAAACGTAACACGACCAGCATGCATTAAAATAACAATTGGAATTGAATAAAAACGTTCTAGATCAGATACTCATCTTCCAGAAGTTTTGTCAATTATCAGAATATAAGTTTATTTACGTACTCTCTGACATTTGACGGTCTTCTTCTTTTCTTTTCAATTTTGCCCCCTGCTTCCTTCGCCGCCTCCTCTTCGGCTGTGTGACGACAGTTGAATTAGGAGAAGTTCTACTGAGCTGCTTCTCATCCTAACTGTACGCTAAACATGAACAATCTAAGAAAAGCCATTCTCCATTACCTTCTTTCTCAGACTGTTTCTGCTCCCTGGAAAAAGCAAAGAGCAAAAGTGAGACCTGACAGAATCAGAGGAGAACATGTGATTTCACAAGGCAGCAGAAAGAGCCTCAAATAGTCTTACTTTGAAGGAGTCGAGTCGATTTCCTCCAACACTTCAGCTGGTAGGAGCTTTCTTTTCTGTGGGGAAATGAAATTATTGCTAAGGAAGAAAAAAAAACACACACTTGCAGCTTACGAGATTAAAATGTCAGCTTACAAACAACCCATGAAATTCTCTCAAACAAAAAAAAGGTTTTATAATGTGGTTAATATTAAAACAGGTTGGCTACTTTCATGTGATTTTGAAGAGAATATCAGTGCTGGATGATATCTTTGTACATTTAGGTAAAGTTCATCATTGTTTGGACACATTTGTTGGACATTTTGTTGTCTCTCTAGCAACTAATTATTAAAACAAGAAATCTTTTAACTCAAAATCTGTATGACCAATTTCACCAATTCAGTTTAGTGCAAAGTCAAAACATAAGTTATCTCAGGGCACTGAGCAAAAACATTCACATATTATAAATGCCAAGTAGTAAAGTCATCTATCTATGGAAGGAAGCCATATAGAACAAGAAATATTAAACTGATTTTTTAAGTTAACAAGTTGCCTTCGAATGCACCAAGTCGTCACAGATTTTCTAACAAGCTTAGATTTTTGTAAGATAAACATCACTGGATGCAGCCAGGCACTACAATAAAGAACTAGCTTTTCTTCAATAACATTAGATTTGGCTGATTTTAAAATTCTAGTCGGCTCATTAATAAATATGACTGTTGAGCTTCAAAACCGGCTCACAGAAAATGTTATCTGGTGAATTTTCTGAATAATCTTACTGGGGTTTTACTGTTAGATGCGTCCTGCTCTTGTTATCTGAGCCACTCCATTACTTTCCCAATGCTTGTGTAAAAATCACAATTAAGCCACAACATGACAGTACTGTAATTACATAAAAATTACATCTAGCTCAGAATTAGGCTGATTACATTCCTAATTTAAACTCTGTTATTTATCTAAATGCTAAAAAACGTAATCTGGAGCTGTTCTTGTTCTCATGTATGTATTTGATGATCATCTTTGTCACTGGATGAGACATTCGTTAAGTAATTAAAGCAGCACGGATCCATTCAGTCACTTTACTCTGATTGTTTAAGACAAACAACAAACCTTCTGCTCCTGGAACAGCTCCTGCCTTTTCCTCCTCTTCTCCTTCAGCAGCTCCTTCTCTCTACAAACCATCAAAATGTTTATTGATTGCACCAAATTTAAATGTGCACTCGCACAACCAGCCCTGTATTCTTGCATTTAAAGCAAACATCAAGGTTGTTGCATCTGTAAATAACGTTTCACTGGAGCACAGGACTTGACCTCGTTGGCCACGTCTCATGAAACAAAATGGGCAAAATAGCTTCAATGTAATATGATCCATCTCTAGAACAGTTTAAGATATGACTTACAAAATAAATATAATTTAAGGTAAATATTTCCAACTTTCTAAACAGTAAAGTTCCTCTTTTATGGAGCCCCAACCACAGACCACTGTACAAGTTTAGTTTTAGCTGAATGTTTAGCCCTGCAGCAATTATTCCTTGACAGCTCGTAAACACGTTTTGGTAAAACTGCCGATGTATAAAATACCCCAGCACTCATAAGAATATCTAATGAAACGCGAATAGTAGGGTACTTAAACGAACATTTCACAGAAAATTGCCCGAATGCTTGAGTTTTGAATGGAGTTCGGAGCACTGTTAGCTAGCTGCTAGCTACCTTCGGACCGTGTCCAGCGCCTGCTTCATGCTCCGCAGAGCCTGAGCCTTGGAGTCCTCAAACGTAACCTCCTCCGGTACCTCATCGTCGCTCGACTCAGAAGACACGTTTACAGTCTTTGTTGGCTTCCCGTTGTCAACGTTCCCTTTCAGAGACATCGTTTTCACTCGTTTCTTTGCCACGAGCCGTTTCGCGGATGACGCCATGTTTGTTTAGCACCGCCTACTGAACACGGCGCGCAATGGTTTGTGGGATTGTTTGGAGGCAACGGATGGACGGGTCGTCGAAGTTCGAAAAAATGGACATTAGCGCAGTTTAAGGAGTTTTTGTTGGTTCGTGACGAGCCTATTTGTAATCCGAGAAAGGACATACTTGTCAAGAGTTGCTCTCCTGCTCCTATGTTTTTGGAATGAAGCCTAAAATGACAAACCCACACAAAATCTGGAGGTTTAACAGAGACTACAGTACTCCTTGGAACAATTTAAACGTTTAACCTCAATTTATACATGGGTTGTATCTTTAACAATATGTTTACAAATTGGGCCTGAGATGAAGTACGCACAGACATCAAACTAGTTAGCCAAATACTAATCTGTAGTCATAGCTCTTTTTATATTTGCCACAACGTGACGCTGCACAGGAGATTAGTGGCAACATCTGCCCCCTCCTGGCCAAAAAAAGAACTACAGCCACTAAATAAATTTTACAAGAAAACTACAAAAATCAAAACGTTTTAACTTGTTATACTGTAGTCACATGTTTAACGCTTTAAATGCTATTAATAGTATTCAGGAGCGTACTTTATTTTACATTATTATGATTACTGTTGTTATGATTTATTTGATCTTTTTTTAAACCTAGAATTAAACTGACAGACAAATATATTTTGTTACATTTTCCCTCCATTTTAAAACGAAAACATAAAAAAACTGTTTTATATTACATTTGTGTTGAAAATGGTCCTATATACATATGTTTTTTTATGAGAACCTTTTTTAAAAGTTGTGCATATAAAACATGAAACAACTGGAACAGGCAATATTATTGTTAATAAACATGTTTTACATTTTAAGTATATAAAAACAAATCAATAGTTAAATGAACAAAAAAAGGATATGGACTATCTAAGAAAATGTGTATAAAATCAATTAAACCAGCTTTTTTAAATATAAAAAAATGCATATGTAAAACTAAATAGTAAAATATAATAAATAAACACATTTCAATCGTGAAGACAATAGGAAAAATAACAAGTATGAAAACAATTAAACATGCTAAATTTTAAAATAAATCATGCATTTTTAAAACATTTTTTAAACTAATAACATAGCAAAAAATTTGAGTCATCCGTTTCATGATGTTTTGTGTAATGATCCTGATTTTATTTTAAAGTGATCTTTGTCAGTAGCTCTTTAGGCTTTTTTAAAAGGTCTTTGAAAGTTTATTTTAAAACTGACTGCTTTTCCTTGTACCTGAAGAAATAAGTCAAAGTCCAGAAGACATATTTTTAAAGACTTCAAAAAGCGTTCAATACAAAAACAACTGGACTTTATTTGTAACAGAAGACGTTTCGCTCCTCATCCGAGGAGCTTTCTCAATTCAAAGAGCAGAGAGTGAGAGATACAGGTTATAAGGCTGAGTGAGATAAGACACACACACACATAAGACACACACACATACTGTATATGTAGATTGGCAGTTCACACCTAAAAACCTAAACAGTAGGTCTTTTGTTCCTCTAATTCACAGACGAGGCCCCTCTGTTCCCATCAGGTGTGAAAACCGGCTGGGGATCTGTTTTAAAGTTGCATTATATGTTTTTGAAAGTGGGAATCTGAGGCCTCCTCCTCTGTTAAGAGATGGTTTTTCTCTTTTTACATAAATTGCTTCCTTCACCCCCCTCTCAAACCATCTGTGTTCTCGGTCCAAAATGTGCACATTTTGGTCCTCAAAAGAGTGTCCCTTATCTGTGAGATGGAGGTGAACAGCTGAGTCTTGTCCTGTGGAGCTGGCTCTCCTGTGTTGAGTCATGTGTCTGTGAAGAGGCTGTTTAGTTTATCCAATGTAGAGGTCTGGACAGTCCTCGCACAGGTCCTCCAGACCTCTACACTGAGGAAACTAAACAGCCTCTTCACAGGAGAGCCACCTCCTCTGGACAAGATCCAGCTGTTCACCTCCATCTCACAGATAAGGGACACTCTTTTGAGGACCAAAATGTGCACATTTTGGACCGAGAACACAGATGGTTTGAGAGGGGGTGAAGGAAGCAATTTATGTAAAAAGAGAAAAACCATCTCTTAACAGAGGAGGAGGCCTCAGATTCCCACTTTCAAAAACATATAATGCAACTTTAAAACAGATCCCCAGCCGGTTTTCACACCTGATGGGAACAGAGGGGCCTCGTCTGTGAATTAGAGGAACAAAAGACCTACTGTTTAGGTGTTTAGGTGTGAACTGCCAATCTACATATACAGTATGTGTGTGTGTGTGTCTTATGTGTGTGTGTGTCTTATCTCACTCAGCCTTATAACCTGTATCTCTCACTCTCTGCTCTTTGAATTGAGAAAGCTCCTCGGATGAGGAGCGAAACGTCTTCTGTTACAAATAAAGTCCAGTTGTTTTTGTATTGAACGCTTTTTGAATTCATCATGTCCTGGATGACTGAGAATCTTCACCAACATATTTTTAAAGACCTTCACGAACCATTCACTGAGACAACTTTATGAAAATGGAATCAAAATTCAAAGAATAAATGGGTAATTTCACGCGTATTCTATTCTGTATGTTTTTATTTATTATTTATAATCTCCTCCGATCTATGCTTTTATTCTGAAAGCACGCAAATACTCAGAACCGGAAGCGCTTCTTCTTCTTCTTTAAAAGAGCAGCTTTGCAGCTTCCGGTAGTTGTCAACAACAACAGCGGCAGCGTGTAACGTGACTCACTGTGGAAATAATGATGCTCCGAGTCTTACTGCTGTTCGTGGCCGCTGCCGGGGCGTTGGTGCTCGGCCTCCCTCAGCTCGAGGCCTCCGCCCCGGGCAGCGAGCCGTGCGCCGCCCCGCTGCAGTGGGAGGGCCGGTGGGTGGTGTACGACCACAGCTCCGGCAGGAACAGCCGGGCCGCGGTGTCCTATGACGGACAGAAGCAGAGGATCCGGGTCCTGCAGCAGCACAAGAAACACACTCCGTGTCAGAGGTAAAAAAGACAGAAAAACAAGTTTAAAAAGGTGGAATATGACAAAACAAGAGGCTTTAAATCACATTAATAATCACATTTTATTCAGAATAACACTTTGTAACTCATGTTTACTTTATTGGTAAACAACAAAATACTTGTGCTACAAAGTTTTTTTAAGTTCACAAAACCCCTGCTAATAAATAAATACAAATAATGCCAAATATTATGTAAATATTTCAAAGATTTATGCCAACTTACAGTATGACCTATTTAGATAAGTTTTACTACTAATAATATTAAATTAATTATAGATGAATAATTAAATTAAAACCACAACAGTTTTCTGCGGGATCAATAAAGTTCTATCATATTTGATCATTTTAGCTTTTTTTTGTTGGTCTGTGTTGTTTATTTGTTGTGTTTCAGTAAGTGTTCCTAATTTTTGATTTTATTAAAAAAAAATAAGTTTCTGTTGTTTCATTTTGCAGCTTTTCTTAATCAACAGTCAAAGACGGGCTTTATGACCTGGAAAATCTTATTTTACTTTACAAATGTTAAATCACTTTATAAACAAACATCCTAGAATTTATTATTATTATTAAACATGTTAGTTTTTCACTCCTAAATAAAGTACATTTGATCTAAAAGTCATTTATTTGAAGTATCTGTAATTAATGTAATCATTCAACAAACTTTTTGTTATTGTTTTGTTGTTGTTTTGATGTAAAATAATAAACATTAAAAATGTATCATCAGAAACTATCAGGAGGATCCATTTGTGTTTCGCCTCAGTTGTCTGGTGTAGGTACAGCTCACACTGTTGATGTTTGTCTTTTAAACTTTCACATAAATGTTAATAAAACTTTTAAAGTTGTTTGACTTGTTCCCTCTTTGCAAAAACTGCAACACTCTTATTCTTATTAATCCTGTAATGAATTGATTCATCAGTCATTATATTCAGGTGTTCTTCCTAATTAAACAATATTTGCAAATACGTGATGTGTTACATTTAAAAAAATGATGATTTTGGATTAATAAAAATGACATTTTTCTTATTCAGTCAAAGCCATTTTTGTACTTTTTTTAACTTTGTTTTTTATTCACCACTTTTATTTTATTTAGGATGAAATTTTCCCATTTAAAAGTGTTTTGTTTTCCTCCAAATGGGTTGTTTGTTCTGTTTTTGCTCCATTAGATTATTGATAACCTTCCCTACGCGTCTGTTAGCCGCACTCGCTGAGCTAGTTGTTTACTCAGCCGGATAAATAAAAGGATAAACAAACACAAAGTCTCTGTCGGGTCTCGGGAGTTGTGAAATTCTGTCTGGCTGCTTATCAAGGACTCAGTCTGTTGATAAACTTTGGTTTGCTTCGTGTGCAGCTTTAGTTTGATCTGAGCAAAGAGCAGAAACGCTCCAACATCAATACACCTGCACGCAAAGATTTGGAAGAAAAACACGTTTTAGTTGCGTTAGAAAGCAGCTTTTAATGTAAAATATGTCATATTCTGGAAATAAACTGAATTAATGTTCAATTAATAGATAATATGATATCAGGTCGTATGTTTTTGCCTCATTCTGAAGCCAACAAAGCAACATATTTAACACAGCCTTTTATTTCCTTGGTCCTGTTCAGGTTCTTTGAGTACATCTACTTGTATCAGAGCAGAGTGATGTTCCAGATCGACCAGAAGACCAAAGACTGCTCTAAGATTGCCCTGACGGAGGACTGGGATCCCTTTGACATCCCAGATAACTCCACGTTTGAGGAGCAGTACTTCATCGGCGGTCCCGGGGACAGCGTGGAGGTTCAGGAGTGGTCGGACAGGAAACCAGCACGCCAGCGTAACACAATCTTTATTTTTCATTTCATCGTGTGCTCGTAGAGACACGAAAAGTCCAAACATGGAGGTGCAGCGAAAGCTGGAAACAATACTTGAATTAAATAAAAAGGCATAAAGTAAATGCTGCATTGCGAAGCGTGTGCAAACCTATCAATCTAGAAGGTTTAGCCAATTTATTACTTTTAAATCTGTAATGAAACGTACAGGAATATATCAGGTGAAGATGTTTATTTAATCTGGAACTCGAGTAGGAAAATAACTAAACGTGGATCTCTAAAAAAAACAGGAAAACAGAAATGACCGTGATGTCTTTTTTTAATTTAAATTTGATTTGTGTTAACACCGACGGTTTTATGTCTACGATTTTAACAAATACAGTGTTTTTCCCCCCAACATGTTGAACCCATAAATTATTAAAAGTACAGTAGTCCCTCGCTACTTTGCGGTTCGTTTATCACTGTTTTTCAAAATAAGATTGAACATGACACAAAACTGGCTGATTGATGGATGAGCCGCACGATCGGCATGGAGTTTTTATCTAAAATAAATTATTTAAAATTATTTAGCACCTGCTGCTCCTTTGTGCAGCCCACACTGCAGGATAAGCTTCCTCCTGCGGCTGATCACCTGATCAGCTGCAGAGGGGAGGAGTGGGCGTGGCCAAGAGGCTTGCAGGTGGCTGAGAGAGGCGGAGGCAGGGAGCTGAAATCATGACATGCTGTGCTCTTTTAGAGCATTTAGAGTTTAGAAACATTGTTTAAAATATTGCAAGAGTGTAGGAAGGGTTTAAAATGTCTTTATATATATATACATGTTTATATATATATATATGTTTATATATGTGTATAAATACTAAAATAAACTACTACTTACTACTTGTACTACTATTCCTACTTCATGGTTTTTTCACTTATCGCGGGGCTTCAGGTGTGCATGTCCCCTCGCGATAAACGAGGGACTACTTCCAGTTCTAGAAGTGGGCATTTTAATCTGCATTCTACCTTTTGTCCAGCAGGGGGACATCTGTGGCTGTAAACCAAATTAGACTCCACCCCTCATTTGATTTGTGACGTCATTTAACGTTTTGATCATATTTTCATGAGTCTTTGTGCTTGGGTCAGACAGTGTGATCATTTTGTTGTCAAGAGAAGGAACAAGAGTCCTGCAGTTTAAATAATATTTCACTTTCTAAAAGATGAACGTGATGGAATAAAGATTTCATTCTTCTCTAATCTGCTCATCCTTCCACCAGATGAGACCTGGGTGGGTGTTTACACCCTGAAGGACTGCTACCCGGTGCAGGAGACCTACACCATCAACAGCAGCGTCACCACCTCCACCCGTTTCCTCAACCTGCAACTGGGCATCAGTGACCCCAACGTCTTCACCCCCCCATCCACCTGCCAGTCTGCCCGACCTGAGAGGATGCTCGAGTTTGAGTGCTGAGGTCGCTCCAGATCTAACCTTTGACCTCAGATGACTAACAGCTGTTTGAGTCTAAAATCACTCCTTTGTTGCCTAATGTAGCTAAAACCCTGAAGGTTCAGCCGCTGTGGAAGAAGTACCTAAATAACTGTCACTATTGCTGATTCTCAAGTTGAATCTAAACTTACTCTTTGATTTTGTTTAATAAATAATAACATGGTGGAATATGTTGTGTGTTTTACACCTGGGATTAGATTAGAATAATTTAGCTCCGCTTCGGCTCGCTCTTTTTTTTATCCTGATGTTTTTGACGTTTTGCGCCTACACTGCACACACGCTGCAGGTATGACCGCGACACACTTTTGAAGTTTTGTGTGTTGCTGCCTTGCCATCCTGCCATCGGGGTTCAGTTCCCGGCCCCCTTTTGAGCCTCGGGCTCCGGCCTGTCATGGCGGCCGTCTCCACGATCCTCCACCTGCAAGCACAGACCGAACTGTAGGGAACAGTTCAGTTCCACTGGGAACTTTGGATGTTCTGTGTCTGCCAGAGCCGGTTTTGGAGAGCAGTTATGCATTGCTGCGGTCTTTATCTTCATCATGTTGCTAACAGGACCATGTTACTAACAGGACCATGCTGCTAACAGGCCCATGCTGCTAACAGGACCATGCTTCTAACAGGACCATGCTGCTAACAGGACCATGTTGCTAACAGGAACATGTTGCTAACATGACCATGCTGCTAACAGGACCATGCTGCTAACAGGACCATGTTGCTAACAGGACCATGTTGCTAACAGGACCATGCTTCTAACAGGACCATGCTGCTAACATGACCATGTTGCTAACATGACCATGCTGCTAACAGGACCATGTTGCTAACAAGACCATGCTGCTAACAGGACCATGCTGCTAACAGGACCATGCTGCTAACAGGATCATGCTGCTAACAGGACCATGTTGCTAACAGGACCATGTTGCTAACAGGACCATGCTGCTAACATGACCATGTTGCTAACAGGACCATGCTGCTAACATGGCCATGCTGCTAACAGGACCATGTTGCTAACAGGACCATGCTGCTAACTGGACC